TTCACAGAGAGTCGAATGCAAAAACTCTCTATGAATATTCATAGGTTGAACTCATTGTTCATTTCAAACCGTATTAACTATAGGTTGATTAAATGAATGCGTTGCCAACTTGCCATGTTTGAACTTCCTTAGGATTTCAAAAGCAATTTCCATTTTTCATGATGCACGTATACTACAAAAAAAATTTAATACCTCTACCAGACTTTAGCTTATCATATATCAAATCAAACTTGACAGGACCATTAATTCTTTCAATCTATAAAATTTATATGGTGTGATAAGGTCAATTGAATTTACAATAAAATTCTGTAAATACCCATTATTGCTCTAAATAAATCAATAACACATTATAGCATTTCTGAACGAATTAGAAAAGTAAACACATGCCATACGAATTACATAGTTCAACGTAAAATTTACATCATTAGCAAAAGATTTTACTATATAAAAAACATGAGATTTCAAATTTTCTCTGCTGTTTACCTAATAAAATATATTTTTTCATATGCAGACAAACCAAGTTCGTCAAGCAGATCCACAACTTGAACTTTGAACTCCATGCAAAAGTTGTTCACGTGTATATCTCTACCAGTACTATGTACCGTTTGTTTCTATTATAATTAAAATAAATATATCATTCAGTACCCATTTTAGAATGTTTGATATGAAGATAATGGACTACTACATCAACCAAAATTATTATTATTATCTATATGCCCAATAGTTTAAACCCATGCACTACTTTGATCAGTAGGTTAACCTTTTACAAAAATCTTAATTAGATTATAGAATCTAATGTTTGGATTATCCCTCAAAAATCTCTAATAAAAACGTAACACGTAGTGCACAAGTTTTTACCTGCTTTTCTTGACCTAATCACACAAGATTAATCTTATTTTCGCCTTGTCGGTGAAGCATTAATCAGATAGTGTTTTTTGAAATATTAATTATAAAACACTCTTAATTAGAACATTTTAATGAAGCTGTTGAGAGTTTTTAGCCCCACCATGGGTGATGGGACCATGTGATGTACTAATACTGAATATTATTGTCCTCAGGTTGCTTAACTAACCCAAAATTTTCATTTCTTTGGCATTATTATATAATAGAACCAGATTTAGAAGTTTGCTTAATTAGCCATCAAGACTAAACAAGTTGAGTTTGGTTCCACAGTTGGTCATATGAAGTCTAACTCACTGTGTGGCACAATTATATAGATATTAGGGCAAATTGCATAAAACTCCCTCTACTTTCCATTTTTGGCACGAAACCCCCCTTGCAAAAGAATTTTTTTGATATAAAACCCCCTTAACTTTCCAATTTGTTGTAAATATAAATTTAAGAAACTAGTGCCCCTCATTCAACAAAGAGTTGTTATAAATTTTCCAAAAAAAAATTCAATGAGGGGCACCATTAAAAATATCTTGGAACAATTTTCATTTTTTTCTTAAATTTCTATTTTAAAAAAATTAAAAGCAAAAGAAAACCTAAAATGAAAATCATTTTAAAGAAAATCTAACTTTTCTTAAATATATATTTAAGGGCATGTTTGTCCTTATAACATCATTTATGGTATGTAATTTTCAAAATCTTCTTAGAGTTCTATTTTTTAAAAAATTAATAAAAAGGAAAAAATAACCTAAAATGAAAATATTTTTAATTTTTTTTTATTAAGAGGCATTTCTGTCATTATAAAATCACTTTGCAATAGATTGAATGGTTTGGGGAGTTTTATGTTATTTATTTATTTATTTTTGGGGGTTTCGTGTCAAAAGTAGAGGGGGGTTTTATGCAATTTACATACAAGTCTCCTTCAATTCCTTTTTCCTTTATATAAGATTTACAGTTCATGGTATTTACTTCATAATAATCATGGAGTATAGACACCAAGCTAAGACATTAGGATTGTTACAACTCAAGTATGCCAAAATTACACTAATAAAATTAGGAAAATGATTCCAAATAGTTGTAGTGAATTGTTAGACTTACTTCTTTAATTGGTCAATTATGTAATAAATAAGGAAGTGGAGTCCTCCATTTAATTGTATTTAGTATAAATAACCAATTAAAAATTATTCGATTAGGCAATTCACTATAAGTGTTCGGTATGAGTATCACTATATTAAATTTAAAAAAATAATAAACTTTGGGTTTCTTCAAAAAAATCTCAATTGATCATTTGACTTGAGGTACTTACAAGCAAAACCCTAAATCAATGGCTTAATCAAGGAAGGAATCAACCAACTAACCAATTTCAGCAGCTCATACAATAACTTGTAAATTACATGGTGACAAGTATATCAAAGAAAAATTCAATAAATTTGTTGACCAACTGACATATATATCATCACAATTTTTCATTGTAGTTTGAAAAAAAAAAGAGATATGTTCTTCATTGATTTCTCTCATTGAGAGCTTAAATGAGGTGTGAACTAAACCAACCATGCTGCTCATTTGGATCTTGAAATTGAATTGGTGTGTGAAAACATGTGATCACATAGTACTTGACTAACAACCATGACCACCCTTTGAAAACTTGATGATAGCAATATATATATATATATATATATATATATATATATATATATATATATTGATCCATTAACCACTGCCATTGGAATGGCATCTATTCACCTATCTTGATTAGTGTAAAATCACTGAGAATCCATGATTCCTTCACTGCACATACACATGGAAGGACTTTTTCAAAAAGCCAAAAATTATTAGTTACCAATCTGTACAAAAGATTATGCTTGCTTCTTAAGCATAGTTTTATTAATTAATAGCTAGTCATATCACACACGCACACACATATATATTGATCCATTAAGTGGGCTTGGATATATATCACTATTGCCATGTGATTATATTGTTTATTAGTGTTAATCTAGTCTTTATCACCAACATAATAATGGTTAGTGTTTGTGTGGTTTTGCTTAAACTAATCAATATTGATCTCAAATCTCAATCAAGAAAGGCTGCAGATTATGGAAAGCATGTGAAAAATCAAGAGTCCTAGAAATTGGTCAATTCATGCATTTGAATTTGCTTCCTCTTTAGTAGAGCAAGAATTGTTTTCTTGGAGTTAATATTATCATGGAGGATTTTAAATAATTGAAGAAACTCTGAGTCTTGAAGATTGCAGAGGTATCTTGTCCCAAAAGCTAAAGTTCATCTTTTCAGTCATTCTTTTTTTTTTTTCTTTTTTTCTTTTTTTGGGATAAACCAAGAGAAAGATTCCCAATTTTCCAGGTTATTTCATGGTAGAAGTAAATTGAAATTGGGATTTACTTTCAACTACAACATCTTCCACAATAATTATCTTCACTCTATTCCATTATTTTACATAGTTTATGGATTAACCCTGAGAGAATAGCCTAATGGCCAGCAACCTCACATCCCCAATTTTTTGAATTCCCGCTTGTGGGATTGAGAGACTGCATGTACTCGGTCATGAATTATGGGGGTTTTCTAAGAAATCTTCCGACACCACCATTGTCTACGACACACACACACATATATAGTTTTTTTTTTTTTTTTTGAAAAAAAAAATTAGTTGGTCAATATGTTAGTTTATAATGAATATAACTCAGCTACAAAAAAATCATGACTAGGTTCAAGAGGTTGAGGGCACTGGCTATGATAATGATTTTGATAGTGATAAAAAAGTCACCCTGAAAAGTTGATGTTGAAATAAGATATGTAAGACCAAAAATCTGAGATGTGTACAGCCATAGAAATTGAAAGCATTGACAGCCTTGTCTCAAGGAAAATGATCTAGAAAGATAGATATTCACCAAGAATGTGGTGTCTGAGTTGAGAGAGAGAGAGAGAAAGAGATATATATATATATATATATATATATATATATATATAGAAATTGAAAGCATTGACAGCCTTGTCTCAAGGAAAATGGTCTAGAAAGATAGATATTCACCAAGAAATGTGGTGTCTGAGTTGAGATATATATATATATATACATATATATGTATGTATAGGAGAATAAAGCACATAGAGCACTACCCCCATTAATAAAGCCACAAAGTTAAATGGATTTTTAAAAGAAACTCTGGGGGAATATGGTTTTGAAAGATGTAATTTCTTTGTCACAGTGGTTTGTGCCCTTAGAACCCCATATAGGATTCTCTTTTTGAAGACACAACCAATCCACTGAACCAACATGACTTTGATTTTTAGTTAAACAGTGACCTGACTCCCAATGAAATTTAAATTGAAATGCGCCAACTTTTAATGCACACCAGAGATTGCAGGAGACTATAATTTCAATGTTTTTTCATCATCAGTGTTTATACAATTTTGTTTTCATTAAATATCCAAACCAACCCTAGATTATGACTTAGTGAGAAATTTTGTTCTGGAGAAAGCTGTCACAGAAATTTATGGACAATTGAAAACAGCATATTCCAAATAGCAATTCCTTGAAAAGTATAAATAAAATAGACGGACATGGAATAATTGAATGAAATATCTGCAAATGTGTGTGTGTGTGTGTGTGTAGAGAGAGAGAGAGACTGCTCTGGAAGTCTTGTTCCTCACCCAGTTTCTTGGCCCTAAGAGGCTGCTCAAACCAATGCTATAATTTTGAACCCATTGTAGGCTTAAACTGCCTTTTCAAAGTAAACTTTAAGAAAACAAGATTAAGGAACCCTTTTTGGGTATTGACCGGAAACTGTGGTTCAGACTTAAGAGTCTAATACACACTTCGTCATCAGCAAGACGTCATCCCTCACTCACATCCTTCATTTTCATATAAATGTAGTCGGATATGTCCAGAATTCGGACTCTCTAGCACAAATCCTAAAAAATAATACCAAATTCAATGGTAGCATTCAGTTGTTTCTAAGCTTAATAATATAGATAAGTTATTTTCACTCATCACCTCAATGTAGGATGCTGTATGGAAGCCTTCAAATGCAGCTGGGAAGTAAGATACAATAGTTGGTATACAATTGCCAGAGTAGTGTTAAAAAGTTCAGGAATGATCAAATAGCCGAGACTTAATATTAACTTAAGAATGTTACAATATAAAATTAAAATGTCAATAGAAGGTATCTAAGATATCAACCATCTATCTTTATACTAAAGATATATCCAGGCCTCTAATCAGTTCAGAACACTAAAACATGGCCACATAACTTACAATCCTGTCTAAAACTAATTACAAATCTTCTATCTCCTCGAGGGAAGAAAAATGCACATCGATGCGATTGAGAGCATCTTGATCAATGGTGGTTGTGGTAAGCCACTTCGTTGGGGAGTAATCCGATTGTCGTCTGGAAGATGAATCATTGTTGGCAGTCTGCTGCTTAGATATCTCAATATCTTCAGAATCCACTTGACTTGTCTTGGTTTGAGGACTGAAGAGCTGGGATTTCATCTCCAAGCAAGATTTTAGATCATCCTCATTCCGGGCTTTGTTCAACTTATCACTAAGTTCACTAAACGCAGAAGCCCTCTCTTCCCGCCAGGGTTTTGGCATCTTTGGCTTCTCGATAAGTTCATCTTGCTCATTGAGGTTGTTATGACCATTGTTTTCCTCCAGTTTTCGAAGCTTCCTTAGTCCGTCATCAACGATATCTAGCATCCTCTTTCTACAGTTTTCCGTTCTAACTGGGTTAGATCTTAGCTTTAACTTCAACCCATATATCATCGTTTCACCACCGTCTGCCACTGGATCAGGATTAAGATTCAATGTTGAGGAATCATCCTTCGTAGGCCCTTCTGACATAGAATTCACCTTGAACACCTTCGTAGGCCCTTCTGATGTAGAATCAGGATTAGGGTTCAGTGTTGAGGACTCGTCCTTCGAAGGCCCTTCTGACGTAGAATCAGGATTAGAGTTCAATGTTGAGGATTCATCCTTCGTAGGACCTTCTGACGTAGAATTCACCTTGAACACCTTCGTAGGCCCTTCTGATGTAGAATCAGGATTAGGGTTTAATGTTGAGGACTCATCCTTCGTAGGCCCTTCTGATATAGAATCAGGATTAGGGTTCAATGTTGAGGACTCACCCTTCGTAGGCCCTTCTGATGTAGAATCAGGATTAGGGTTAAATGTTGAGGACTCATCCTTCGAAGGCCCTTCTGACGTAGAATCAGGATTAGGGTTCAATGTAGAGGACTCATCTTTCGTAGGCCCAGCTGACGCAGAATTCACCTTGAACACCTTCGTAGGCCCTTCTGATGTAGAAACAGGATTAGGGTTCAATGTTGAGGACTTATCCTTCGTAGGCCCTTCTGACGTAGAATTCACCTTGAACACCTCCTCCAGTAAATGAACATTCTGCATGTACCTGTCGAAAGCCTCATTTTCTGCTTCAATATTTCTGTCCCTGTATTCCTTCAGCTTTAAAAACCTCCATTCGTTTATAACTGTAGCATCCTGAAATTGTTTCCTACATCAGGACAAGTCATTCTAAAACCAAAAAATAGTACTCAAGAGATGACAGTAAATAATCTATGTCCACGCACCTTTCTGGTCAGTGGCTTCCTTGACCTAAGTGGGGTTTGTAGATTATTGAATTGGGCAAAGTTGTTAGAAAGTTGCCGAAGTGAAGCAACTCTATGTGAATTCCTGAAACAACACCAAACAGAGATAAGAAACAAAACCTGAATTCTAACTCAACAATACAAATAAGCAAGTAAAATTCCATGGAAAGTGGTATTTTGATGTGATCTAGAGGAAAAGGCCACGACAATGAAAAGAACATATAAAATTGGAAAATTTTCATTTGCTGAAAGAAAAAAATATATAGATATAAATTAAATAACCAGTCCCTCCTTTAAAAACGAGTGATTTTCAGAAATCCAAACTAAATTCTAATTGATTGTCGATACAGATATTCCATTGTGATTCTCAAACAATTGTAAGCATGAGAAACATGAAACCCATGAGTGCAAGGAAAGTGCCACTTCGGTAGAACTTCAGGTAACTCTCATCTTCACATCATAAACAATAGAAAAGCAATGTCAAAGCAGACATTCAACAAAGATATACATCTGAGTCAATTGACGCTCACAACTTACCCGGAGGGAGATGCCTCAGTTGACTGTTGGTCAAACAAAGGAGAGCTAGAAGATGGTGATTTTTCTGGAAAAGTTGCACTGGCCTTCAAAACTGCAATCACAGTCCAAAAGATAGAAAGCAAGTAAACAAGGCCATCCTTCTAACAAAATTATAAAATGTAAAATAAGAAAATCTCACCCCAGCATTAACATTATAGAAGACTAAATATTGAAACCGATGCCTTGCTCTTAAAAGTAAATCATTAATCTTCATTTGACTGATATCAAAACTGACACAAAGCATGAGAAAAAGGAAAATAACCAATTGTGGATTTGTTATGGGACCCAATCTTGAGCTGAATAGTCTTATTTAAACATTAGGTTAATTTGTTACCAGTCAATTATATTTGTATTTCCATAAGTTTAAGAGTCGCAGTATCTGGTAATTTCAGCATTTTGCTAAGAATGATTCATAGAAGTTCGTTATGGGATATTATTCTGGGCCAGGATTATTTACAAGTTAGGCAAATTCCAAGAAATCTGAACTCTTCTGCATATCTCATCCCAATTAGAGGGAAGTGAACATCTTCAGATTAATATCATATAACATTCTGAGAAGGACAGAGTGTTCATCCACATAAAATATGGAAAAACTTCTAGAGTTTCTCTCCCTCCATAGGTGGAAAACAAGACCCACAATTGATAGTTTATGAAGCTGATTTTTCCATCATTTTATTCTTTGTAATTTCAGCCACCAATTATATAGAAATCAATCCAATTCCAAACCCCTTTTACCCACAATCTCATCCTTTTTTCCACCCTTTTAAACTTTGAAGATACCAGCTTCACGTAACTTTTGCTTGAGGCATAAATATTTGAGTTCTGTGGTATCGTCTTACATGAGCTCAGTATCAGTCAAGAAATTCTATTTCCACAGCCATCAAATATTTCATATGATGACTTCTTCTGCAGTAATAGTGAACATTGAGATGAAGAATCTATGGCCTAGCTGGCTTCACTGAAGAGTACGTAAAGGCTATTGCAGTTGCTCTCTAGGCAAGAATCACACTAAAATACAGATGACTCGCGAGTTATAATCCTCTATTTCTATTCTATATTCAAATCTGAAATGTCATCCCACTGAATAAACATAACCACCAACAAGCAATGTTGGAAGAAACAAAGATTTAGATTACCGTGGTAGTTGGAAGAAACAAAGATTTAGATTATCATGGTAGTTACAGATGCTCAGAAGACTAAACCCAAGTCAGTCAAAGCTAAGCATGGAAAATACAACTGATTTTCAGGCTGTTACAATCTAAGGATGTCTTTGATCTGTAGACTGTCTCGACAGTTATGTCATCAATTTAGATGGATTCAATTGTATATGGAAAAAACACAGTATTGTCCGTGTTACTTCCATATTGTTAATTCAAATTAATTTGTGCCAATATTTCATGTCACCAAAGATGCCAATCTGATGCACATACTTTTCATCTTAATACTATAGGACTCAAGATGGAGTTTGTTCGCCATGCAAACAACGAAAATTGAAAATTGGGGATTTCTTTCAGTAATCTTGTGTGAGCAAGGTTTCGATAGAATTGATTCCTATTTTGAATGTACATGCTGCAGGTCAGTGTACTGCTTGTGGTTTTTCAAGAGCCAATGGGATTTTGGCAATTCTAAATTTGTTGGACATGGACTACTGTATTGGTCTTGGGGTTTTATTATGAATTATGATATTTAGTAGGTCTAGAAAAGCCTTAGTGGTCAAAGATTCAAAGTTCCTATTTTAGGGTCCTAATCCAGGTAAAAGATAAGTCCAACAGGCTGCTAATATCTTCTATTTTTCTATCAAATAAATGGTGTGATCAACCTAACATTACAGGGTGCCCAAGTTATTCATGGTGAGATTCCTAGAATATTCTTTCTCGTTCCATGTATCTTTTCGGTTCTCCAAGTTCAGGTGATTACCACAATAACCACAACTAACTTAGTTTCTTCAGCTTTTATCCCAAGAGCCTAATACCACAACCTTGTACCTTTCCACTACCTTTTGTCCTTTAATTTTAGTTAGCTGCGATTCAGAAGTTCTACCAACCGATTCTCTGCAATACCAGCAACTAATCACTTTAAAACCAGATGAACTAGCTCTCTTAGTTAAAGCGCTATGCAATTTCTTCCACCCTTTTACATCCTCAGTATGGTCTCCCTAAACATTTGGGCACCACGTAATCAACTATAGGTAGCATGACTTTTCACTTGCTAGTCTTCTCCTACATCTTCTGCTTCTTTAGGTGCTGAGAAGTTGCATGAGATTAGAAAAGCCCGTAGATCTAGCTATCACAACCTACTATTTAATGCAGGTAGCAGGAATCACCTTTCCTAATGTTAAGTCAACAGACAATCTATAGATAATTAGATACCCATAACATGATGCTGGTAGTATTGAAAAGTTTAGGAGGAATCCCAGCTTTTTACTAACAAAAAATGAATATGCATAAGCGTACATTCTCACTATTTTATTATGAGAAATGTCATCAATTCCAAAGAGAAAAGGTACAGAATTGGGAAAGAAGACCCCTAAACAAGAAGATTAGGCTATAAAGCATAATCCAAACTCAAAAATTTCCTTTGGCAACACACATTTGGGCTTATTATGCCAACTTGACAGTTGCCAATAAATCTATAGTCAAACAAACCATTTTTTATTCTACTAGATAAGTGTTACATATGGGTTGGGTGATTGGGTATATATGGGTTAGGTTTTATTCTACTACATACGGTCTTATCCCACATCGAATCCGAATGGGAAAGTGATTGGGTATATATGGGTTGGATGTTAATGCCACATAATAACTTGGGTTAATTACGACGACACCCACTGAGGTTTGACATAATGATAGCTATATATAAGTTGGACCATTTTTGAATGGTGACACCCCCTTAGGTTTGATAAAGTTAACAAAGACACTCCAATAGTCCTGACACATGGTGAATTGACATTATTACCCTTTGACACATTCAATTACCAATTTATCCAATACAATTTTTTTTTTATTGACCAAAATACCCTACCTAAACAAATAGCCAGCTCGAAACCCACCGCTACCATTTCACAGCCCTACCATAGCCACCACCGCAACCACCAGTCGCCACCAATACTGCCCACCCATTTCTTTCTCTCTCTCCACCCACCACTGCAGCCTCTGCCACCACAACCAAAACCCATTAATTGAACCCGTGAAAAACCCAGATGAAGCTCCAATGATCACAATACTCCGCTACAACAAACTGATTCCATATTCAGAAAATAAATTTCATAAACAATTATATAGATCTCATGTATCCAATCACATGATTACCATAGTCAACACCCTTCCTCTCTCCCCTTCACGTTATTGCCACAGTCATAGCCTCTTCCACCATGTTGTCTTCTTCTAATTATATATACATATATATATATACTATCTTCTTCGATTTAATGAATGCATACACTTTATATTATATATAAACACATACAAAAGGTTTTTTTTGCGAATTGAAGATCAAATGAAGAAAAAAAGGAACGGGTCTGTCTGTTTTCCTTTCCACCCTTTGAATTATATATATATATATATATATATATATATATATATATATATTTTCTATCTCTTTATCAAAGAACAAGATATACTCACACACACACACACACACTTATATATTATCAAATTTGAACAAAACAAAGGAAAATACATAAATCCATATATATAGACCCATATATAAACAGTCCTGATTTGAAGTTTCATTGGTTTGAATTAGAGCTCTGATTTTGATAACCCAGATGAAATTAACCGTGAAAAATTGGGAAGAAGGGCTTTTAGAGGAGCAAACCTAGAAATGGGCCGGCGAGGTCCGGAGCCAAAACACGAGCCGCCAAAATCAAAAAGGAGCAAACCCAGAAAATTAACGCCAGCGAGGTGGGGATCCCAACACCGCAACCACCCACCACCAATACTGCGACGGTACATGGGTCCACCTTCCATGGCCATTTCGACATACTCTCTCTCTCTACAACGGTGCTCCCCAATACGCTAATCTTTGATCTACAGTGAAGATGGGTCGTCTTACCCACGACGGCGAAACTGACGATTAGGGTTTCGGGGCAAGGAGCACCGTCGATATTGATGAATGGCTCTTAGAGTTTGATTGCAACCAATACGCGACATCGATATTGATGAATGGCTCTTAGAGTTTGATTGGAACCAATACGCGACATCGATCTGCGGCGATGGTGGGCGATGGCAGGTGATTGTGGTAGTGGTGGCGATGGCGGGTGATGGTGTGTGGTAGTGGTGGCAATGCCGCTGCTCTCTTTTCCCCTCTGCTCTTCCATATATATATATATATATGGGCAATAGTGTATATAATGTATATATCTAAGGGCAAATTTGACTTTTCATGAGTTATGATATTTTACAATAAAAATGAATTAAATGTTGAAGGGCAATCTCGTCTATTCTAACATTTAAAGGGCTTGTTTGGATCAAAATTATCACAGGGGGTGTCGTTGTCCAAAAAACAGCTAAGTTGTATATGGCTATCAATATATTAAACCTCAGGAGGTGTCGTTGTAATTAACCCTAATAACTTCAGCTTTTGAGTCAAACCATGAAACACCCGACCCATTACAGTTGGTATCAGAGCCAAACCCAGACCTTGATCCAGTGTCATGTCAAATGCTTGACCTGGAGGTGTTCGGGTCTGCCCACCCAGGTAGGCAAGGTGGCCCGACCGCAACGAGGACATTGCGAGTTTTGGTTGGGGGAGAATGTTATAAGGAGGTCTTGTCTCATATCGGATCCGGATGGGGAAGAGATTGGGTATATATGGATTGGGTGCCTAATACCTTAAAGCTTTTCGGTCTGACCGCAAAGCACCTGGCCCATTACAATAAGCTTCTATAAATAGCTGCAAGCACTAGAATCACCAATTTCTCGTAATTTTCTCATTGGTAATATAAATTGTTGAATTTTTCGGCTATAGCTCTTTTATGGATATGACTGGAAACAGGGATGGAGCCAGAAAATTTGTTTAGGAGGGGCACATTGTAATATTGTACACCATAATATATATATATAGTATAATGTCCATGCATATAAATTAATGTTTATGAGTGTGTGTGTATATATATATATATATATATATATAGAGTGATATTTTTGGGATTAAATTAATTATACATATAGAATATAAGGATTAAGGAAACTATTTAAGAGGAGAAAAAAAAACACACATATATAGAATATTATAAGGGAAAGAGAAAATTCAAGGGGGGCACTTTCTATATTTTTATGAAAAACATATATATTATAATAAAAGTACATATAAAATATAAGAGGGGGAGAAAATCCAGGGGGGCACGTGCCCCCCCAGGCCTTAACTCCCTCTGTCCCTGACTGGAAGCAGGGTGAAAATTGAGGCATATCTCAATGACCTGCTTAAAAGGTGCTATGTCAAGAGAACTTTATAAGGATAGTTGCAACCACGTGTCTTGAGTAAGATTTGGAGGTTCTGACATTCATGGGGAGCACACATATAAACTTTCCCAGGCATGCAACAAACCAAGACATATTCAGTACTACAGTAGCATTTGAATTATGCATACCATGGATATGACATGGATTTTGAGCTTTAGCACAGCAACTCTTGCATGACTGGTACGGGCACCTGCACAAGATATTTCAGCTCATCAATCTAATCTAACATGTCCACAAATATATATATTGTCTCAAACATATATGTAGAAGGAAACCAATAGTTGATATTATAGAGCAGAATGCTGAGACAAAAAACCATAAACCTTTCTGTTCATTCGTCGAGTAAATCACACCTGAACATTGCCTTGAAACCGAAAAAACATCTGTCATCTACTATGGATTGCACACACACACACACAAAAAAAAAAAAAAAAAAAAAAAAAACGGTCTGCATTTGATCCAATACTGAAGCAGCCAAAGCGATACTGAATTTTTCATCCAACAGGTGGGTTCTAAGGGCTAGGACTGTAAACGAGCCAAACTTTCGACAAACAGCTCGAGCTCGGCTCGCTAAGGACTCGGTTCGTTTTCGTTTGTTTAATAAACGAACCAAGCCCAAACAAGTTTTGCATGTTTGATTAATAAACAAACCAATCTCAAACACTCCCCAGCTCGACTCGTTTGTTCATGAACACGTTCATGAACAGGCTTGTTAATAGGCTCGTTTTTAAAATCGTGAACATGAATATATATGTATATTTTTATGTATTTATATCTATATAATAGGTCCATTCCTTTAAATATTAACTTAAGAAAGGCTCATTCCAACCCAACCCAGCCCAATGCATATAAGAAATAATAACTTATCAAAAAAAAAAATCATATAAGAAATAATATGATTTTTTAAGAATAAAACAGCACAAGCCCATGTTACAAGCCCATCCATAAAACCCTAAACACACCCCATAAAAGTCATATCCATCCCTAACCCTAGCACACAAGCTGCCTTCCCCATTGCACGCACCAAACAGACGCCCTCTGCCGCGATGAAGATCTCTCCCCTCCCTCTCTATCACACATTATGTGTTGCCTTCCACTTTGAAAATGGAAACATGGTGGCTACAGATTAAAGGAGATTATCTGCAGATTATAGAAGCATAATCTTTGGAAATATAAAGGGGATAGAAGTTACCATAAATGGTGATTTCTTCAATAGATTTGTTTACATTTTTTTAGATCTGTAATTTTATATATATATATTTGTTTGAAGATTTAATTGTATAATTATAGTATATATTAATAGCCCCAAACGAGCTTCGAGTTGAGCTCGAGCTTCCGTGAAATCTACCGAGCCGAATTCAAACACTTGGGTGAAAGCTCGGCTCAAGCTCAAACACTCTTCCTACATGTCCGAGCCGAGCCCAAACAGGCCACTACTCGGCTTGGCTCGGCTCTACTAAGGGCTATCAAGCCCATATAAAGACAAATTTAAACTGGAACTGCTTTGGGTCATAAGCAGGTTTCCCAATACATTACCCAGGTTACAATTTTGGTGTTCTATGCTGAACATTGTCTTGTAATCACATACATGGTTTATAACTTAGGGTAAAACACACTGACCTTCCTGAGGTTTGGCCTAATTACACACAAATGAAACTTTTGCGAAAAAAAGTTCCACTAAAAGGGCAAAACCCAGTACACGAGACTCCCGCCATTGCAAAAAAGTTTCACATACCCCCCATTAACAGTTTAATCCTTACTAAAAAAAAAAAAAGACTGAAATGACTATTATGCCCCCATTATTTTGTTAATAAAACATGTAAAATATCTAGTGTAGCAAAATGACGATTTTGCCCAAAACAAACTTTACCCCGTTCTCCTCCCCTAAGAAGCACGAACACTCCAAAATGGGCGAAGAATCCGTGTCTGACACGGACACGCCCCGACACGTGTCGGACACGCCAAAAAACGCGTTTGGAATTTTTTATATTTTTTGAATTTTCAGACACGGCATGGATACTCCGCGGACACGGCACGGACACTCCGCGGACACGGACACGGCACGGACACGGCACGGACACTTCTGGAATTTTTTTTTTTTTTTTTGAATGCTAATATGTTTTTTTTTTTTTTTTTTGTACTACCCTTTTGGTATTGTAAATGGTAAAAGTCCTAGGTCAAATGAAGGATGGGAATAGATGATAGTACACTGACGTGTTTTTGTATCTTTTTTGGGGACTAGCCTTTAGGTTTTTGTGAATGTTAAGTGCTAACAGTGAAGTCCTGAATGTTAAACATTCATGAATGTTAATAGTCCTTTCTGTCTATGCTTTTGTATTTGGAGTAAAGTTGCACTGATGATTAAATGATACTAGTTATTATTCTAATGTCTTGTTTTTTATTTGGTTTTATAACTCTGCAACATTGTTCTTTTATAGTTTATTAGTTATGAGTTATGATTTGTGTTTTATTTTCATTGTGAGGTTGATGAAAAATAGTAACACTCAGTAATTTTTAAAGTACCACATCATATATATATATATATATATATATATATATATATATACTATTCGCCGTGTCCGTGTCCGTGTCCGTGTCCTAATTTTTTTGGATTTGCAGTGTCGCCGTGTCGGTGTCGTGTCGTATCCGTGTTCGTGCTTCTTAGCTCCTCCCTTTCTTCCTTCACTCTGTTCTCTCTCTCCTATCAGCACCACGGCACCTGTGTCCTCTCTTCTCCACCTCATCCCACGGCTCCCACCACCACCTACACTCTCCTCTCTCTTCACTCTTCTCTCTTCTCTCATTTGCAACTGACTCCATAGCTGCCGAAGGACTCCATCTCTTGGGTGTCGATCCGAGCCTTGAGGCTCCATGGGAAGACTTGTTTCCGGCAACCCCAATCCTTTCTCTATATATATACAAATAAACATATATGTTCACACGCAGGTGTATACATATTTTAATCTGTTTAAGCATACAAATGCCTGCATATATATGTGGATAATTGTCTGTATCTGTATTACTCAGAAATATGGGTCTGATAATCAACTGGTTGGTGAAATATATTTGTTTTGACACAACTTTATTTTTATATGTGGATAATTAAAATTTTCTAATCCTCTCTGATTGTTGAAGATTCAATTTTTTGTACAGATGATAATGTCTACTGTTGCATTTATACGTACCCGATGCAATCAATCTCAAATGATAATATAATAGAATTGTCATCTAATTAGAAGAGGTAGAGCAAGATGCATCACAAGCAGAAAATATAATATCGCTATGAGAATAAGATTAGATATATGGTTTAACTTTTTGCAATTGAACCTCTAATATCTTCCCTCAGTTAATCACACAATTGGCTTGGTGAAAAATTAGAAGAGATATGCCTCGCTGTGGGACCTTCAGAAATTCCTTTTCGTTTTGTTATGTTACTGTGATAGGTTTCTTCAAAAAGGCTTGATCCGTTTATTGTAAATTGTCCTACAATTTATATTACACTGAAGACCTGTACAGTTCATGAGAAAATTTGGTTGTAAAGTTTCAAAAAGTGTTGGCCCATTGATTGTATAGTACTACAATCTATTGTGGGATTCTGAAGTGCTATGTGAATCTACTTAAATCTTTTTGACTATTTATTAAAATGGTAAATTTACTAATGATTTGATATTTAATAATGAGATCAGCTATGATATAGTACAATAGAAGCTCGACTTCATGTGGCTTGCAAACCGTCAAAAAAGTTCTTTAGAAAATTCTCCACTTCTACAGTTTGCTGGAAACTACATCTCGAATCTCCAATTCTTCTACCCTTTCCCGGGAGTCGATGACTATTCATAGCTATTACCTTGACACCAAAGAAGAGTTTGACCCAATGCTTTATTTCTGTCCTAGTTGATCCTGATTTTTCTCTCCTTTAAAAACAATGCAAGTTAATGAAGGGTATACTCCGTAGCAAGTGAAGGTGAATCAAGGCAAGTGTATGACAGGCAATCATATCATGTTTGTGTCATACACTAACCTTCATGCACTCCACCTGCAACGGACTAGAGTCTTCATCAAAGTTGAACCATTCAAAACATTTTCTTTTCTTGTTTTTCTTTTTCTTGTTTTTTAATTTCTTTGCTCAGGTAAGTACTCACACACACTTTTGCCCATGCCGGGTCCAAACCCCTCCCCTCCTCTTTGAGGATGGGGAGGTTATACCATTGGGCTAGAGGCCCTATTGAGAACTATTCAAAACATTACCCTTATCCAGTCCCCTCTTAAGAACTCTTCTTCAGGAGAACCTAAAGGTTTTTCTCAAAACTGCATTCAGTCTCCTTGGTTTATGTCTAGATAAATTGATTCTCATGAAACTTTCAAATATTTCCTTTCTTTCCTCTTTCACATTTCCAACTACAGATTGTGACACACAGGTGAAGTTCAAAAAAGTTTCATGCATATGTTTTAAGGTTCGCACCATTATTTATCTCATCATTGGTTTAAGTTTCAAATACTCAAAGTTCATGAAATCTAATTTCTTTAGCTATCAAAACAATTATAGGTTCATCTCTTTCCCTTAAAAGTGATGCTTCTTCGAATTGCCAATTGGTCATTCATCATAGTATGCAACAGCACTCCACATAATGTCATAAAGTTCCAAGCTTCTGTTTTTTTCCATGCTTATCTTTCTGGCATACCTTTTATATCATTAAAACCCATTTTTTTATGTCATGATCTACCATTCTTTATTGTATTCAAAATTTCTAATTTCTGCAGCTTTTTGTGTAGATTATTTGGTTTTCTATGGACTCTAAATTTCATAAGTTTCAGCAAGTACAGTTCCTTAATTGCTTTGCCTTTTCTGTTCAATTGATTATTTTGGGCAATTTTAAACTACATATAATACAATAAGATCGAGTTTTGTTAGTGCTTACAACAGAAAATCTTTTCAGCAATATTTCTATGTAAGTATGTTGGATAACACAACTTCAGTTAATAAGAAAGGCATCTGTTTATCAATTCAATTGGAAGGTATCACAAATTAATTATACTTCCTAACTATCACCAATTCCCAAATCCCAAATTATCTTAGGTGTCCTTGGTTTTCTTTGACGGGAAAGTACAACATGATGTCCATCATACTTTTTTTTTTTTTTTAATGCCTCTCGGCAAGACCAGGAGGTATTGTGTTCAACTCCAGAAGCATCAAGCCTCCGCCCTGATCTTACCTAATACTCATGGTTCAGGGTGATTGTGGGGGATTAGTCCCGTCCCAAATGAGGTGGAAACACACCCTCCATTACCCAAAAAAAAGAAGTGTGTTAAAGGGAACCCATGCTTATGCTGGCCAGAGACTTGCAATTACTAGAGCTTAAGAAGACAGAAGGTTCATTCCTCATAAAGCACATTGCTGTTGAAGATGATTGCATAAATTATGATGCAATACATCATTAGGAAAATAGAACAGTGCTTCCTACAATTCGATTTTACAAGTGGACATAGGTTATACATATATGCACACACATTTATTTCTGTAATCGTAAAGCTCATTGAAAAAACCCTAGGGTTTCGATTATCAAGATATGAAGAATAGCATATGCATTAGGAAGTAAAATTTCAAATAGAATAGAAACGAAGACGAATTAATGGATGGGAATTGAAATACCTGGATCGAGCTACGTTGCCGCACTTGATGCACTTGGGTTTGTTGAGGCCGCGCAGGTTCTTGGATGCATTGGTGGTAGGAGGAGTGGTGACGGTGCCGGCGGTGGCAGCGACGGTGGTGGTGGTGGTGGTGATGGCGGTGGCGGAGGTGGGGGTACCAGTGGTGTCGTTGCTGTTGCTGCTTAGGGCTGGTGATGAGGCCGCCATTGTTGGTCAGTGTTTGGATCGGAAGTCGTGTTTGGAAGATTGATGAAACAAAACTCCGTTGTAACAACACGACATTCTTTGCTGGTTCAGAGTACTTTCAGACACCGTGGACCATCCAAGGGTCTCGGAACTTAATTAAACTTGGGCCATCGCTAGTACTAACGCCGAGTTTGGACTTTGGGTTTGGGGATGGGAGAAGAGGGAAAATATACAGAGAGTCACACACAACTATGTGTATATATATACAGTTTAAGGCTAAATTATACTAACTCCCCTTGCGTTTGCCCAAATTACATTAACCTCCCCTATTTCTACCGAAAGTGATTTTAAGTGTAAAAAGACAATAATGTTTGTATATTATATTATATCTTAGTACTAAAGAATGACAAAATTGTCATTCTAAAAGTGCACTAGCATACATGTATGTAATTTGCTCAAATTTTATGAAAGGTTAATGTAATTTACCTTATATATAATTCGGGGAAAAAAAGAATAAAAAAACCACTAAGTCCTACTTTTTTCAGACAAATAGGTCCTTATAAATTTTTCACAAGACCAATAAAGTCCTACTTTTGAAATTCTTTTTTCATATTTAAAATCTAAACCACTTAACTTTTCATGTATACCCTTATCAAATTAAACCTTTACAATTGTATATATATATATATATATATATATATGTTTTTTTTTTTAAATCAAAATTTGATAGGTAAGCCAAATATTTCTATTTGACATATTTAAATATGTCTAAAATATTTCTATTTGGAAATTTTTCATTTTTATATTGTTATATTCAAAATAATTAGTTATTTTTCAAAGGATAAAAGTTAGAAAAATTATTTCAATAAAATGAAATTATAATGTTTTATAAAAAAAAAAATTGTTTTTATATATAATATGTGTGTTGTGAAATCTACAAATATTTTTGAAATTGAACTTTAAATAAATTAATTATAAGTTAAATACATAATATAACATTCATGAATTGATTAAACATAAATAGGGACGGAGCCAAGATGTAAGATAGGGGGGAGGAGGGGGCAATAGTGCATTTGTTTAGTAATTTTAGGGACCAAATCTAATATTTCATGGATATATTACTGAAAATAAACAAATTATAAGGATATATTACTATAAAAAAAAAAAAAAAAAAATTAGTGGGATCCTTCCCTGAACATAAAATAAAAAAATTGTAGAACTTTACTTCTATTTGGGATACAAGTGAAAAATTGAGTAGTTTAGAACATAAATGGAAAAAGATTTCAAAAGTTGGACTTATTGGTCCTATGAAAAACATATAGTATGATTTATTTATCTTTTCTTAAAAAAAAAATTAATCAAATAAAGGAAAAACAATAAATATATATTGTTCACTTTGTTCTTTTTGGATTTTTTTTAATTTATTTTTCATTTCACAAACCAAATAAAGTAGAGATGAACTTTTAGAAAACCATTCCAGTTTCCCTCACTTGCAAGCTTTTTTTAGCTCTTCGAACTAGGTTTGGATTGAATTTTAAATTGAGTTTTATTAGACGTGTTGGTTAACCTCAACCCAACTCAAACTCAATCAAGATGGACTTCAGATGATAGAGATTGTACCAGAAAGCATAATTTCTGATACTGCTTCCTCCAAAGACTCAAGCATGGTTGAGGGGTCTCCTACTTCTAACATGTCTTCCAAGAAGCAAAGGAAAAAACTCCGGAAGCTGGAAGCTGATTCAAGTAATATTAGGATTACTAGGGGAATGCTTGCAGGTGGGAATATCCCACCATCGGTTAGTCAATGATTGGATTATGGAATGTTGAGGGCTCAACAGGAGGCAAATGCAGAAGGAAGTCAAGGCCTGGTTGAGTAAGTTCTCTATTCATTTATGTTGTTTGGTTGAAACAAGGGTGTGCAGTGCTAAATTTCAGAGGATTGTGGATAGGATTAGACCTAATTGGTCATGGATGAATAATTATAGTGCTGTGGCAGGGGGTAGAATTTGGTGTGGTTGGGATCATACTAAATTGGTTACTAGCATTCTTGAGATTAAGTCTCAGATAGTTCTCTTAAAAGTGGAAATTATAGGGACTTCTCTTCATTTTTTTGTTGCTTGTGTATATGCTGAAAATACTATGTTGGAAAGGAGACAGCTTTGGAGTGATCTTGTGGATTGTTCTACTCAGGTTTCTGGTCCATGGCTGCTGATAGGTGACTGGAATATTATTAGGTTTAACAGTGAGAAGAAAGGAGATCTTAGACATCCTCCTAGAGTGCTTCATGATTTTAACTTTACAATTGATCAGCTAAGTTTATCTGATTTACCTGTTATTAATGGGGAGTACACTTGGTGTAACATGAGATTTAGTCAAAGAAGAATATATGCAAGGCTTGATAGGGGACTGAGAAATCAGGAATGGGATCAACTGTTTCCAAATTCCCAAATTCTACTGTCTCCTCCATTGGTGTCTGATCACTGGGGTTTGTGTCTTCAATTCCCTATGAATATTGCTGATGGCCCTAAACCTTTTACGTTTCTGTTGGTGTGGAATAACTAATAAGCCGTCTGTGGTTACAAAATTAATTTCTGATGTTTGGCAGAGTGGTACTTATGGTAATCCTATTCAGAAGCTGCTATATAAACTTAGATTGGTTAAACAAGCAGTGAAAGCCTGGAACAAAGACCAGTTTGGTTCTGTTTTTGAAAAGGTTATTACTAGCAGGAAAGCTTTGTAGGAAAATCAGTTTAATCTAGCAGAGGATCCAACAAATGAAGATTTAATTCACAAGGAAAATGAAGCCAGGAGGACATTTGAATCTGATTTTTCAAATGAACCAATTTTGTTATCCCAAAAGTCCAGAACTAGATGGTTAAAGGATCAAGACAGATGTACTAGATACTTTCATCAGAAAATTAAAGAGCACAGGGCTGGTAATAATATTTATTGTTTGCAAGAGGGTGAAGGGGAGTTCATTCATGATCAGGGCAGAATCAAAGAGATCTTTGTGCAGTACTTTCAAACGTCTTTTTCTCAGGACAGTCCTGTATCTCAGCAGCCAGGTACTGAATATATTAGAAGAACTCTTGGGGAAGCGGATGCAGGTATGATTGAGGCTGTTATTTCAAGGGAGGAGGTTAAGCAGACCATGTTTGCTATGGGGCCAGATAGGGCTCCTGGCCCTGATGGTTTCAGTGCAAGATTTTTTTCAGCAATATTGGAAGGTTGTTGGAGCAAATTTTACTGATGCTGTTCTACAATTTTTTGATACTCCATCCATGGGAAAAGGAGTTAATAGCTCCTTTATCACTTTGATTCAAAAGAAGAAGGAAGCTGTTCAAGTTGGAGATTTTAGGCCTATTTCATTGTGCAATGTCTTTTATAAAGTTATCACCAAGATCTTAGCTAATAGGTTGGCAAAGGTATTGAGTTCTATTGTGGGAAAGGAGCAAAATGCTTTCATCCAAGGGAGAAGAATACAAGATAATATTATTATTGCCTGAGCTATTGAGAGGTTTTGGCACTAAGTTTGCTAAGCCCACCTAAGCCTGGAAGATTGACCTAAGGAAAGCTTATGATTCAATTCATTGGAGTTTTTTACTTAAATTATTACAGCTTTATGGTTTTGGTAATAAATGGATACAGTGGGTTAAGGAATGCATCACGACAGTTTGGTTTTCAATTCTGGTTAATGGCAGTCCATGTGGTTTTTTTCAACCTCAAAAGGGGTTGAGACAAGGGTGTCCTTTGTCTCCTTTACTTTTTACTTTGGTTACGGAATACTTTTCTGGTCTGGTTGAGCATGAAGTAAGGAGAGGTACAATTGTGGTTTCAGAGGCTGCAAAAAGAGCTGGTATTCCTGTGACTAATCAGTTTTTTGCTGATGATTTATTGCTTGTGATTAGAGCTAACATGGCTTCTGTTTTTACTCTTAAGAGGATTTTGATACACTTTGAAAAGGTGTCTGGTTTGGCTGTGAATAAAGAAAAGTCTGAACTTTTCTTTTCTAGATCTGTCAAGAGGAAGTCAGTGATTCTAAGGAGCTTGGGGTATAAGGAGGGTCAGCTGCCTTTTACCTATCTTATATTACCGAGGGGTGACTTTTCTAAGCTTGTGGATAAGGTTAATGCTTCAACTACTAGATGGAATGGGTTGCATATATCAATGGCTGGTAGAGTGGAACTTTGCAGAGCAGTGGTTACTCCTTTAATTTTGTATTGGACATCAGTGTATTCCCTTCCAGCTGCTGTCATTAATCTTATTGAAAAGAGAATGAGGAATTTCATTTGGGGGCATAATGATGATACCAGGAAAATGCATGGTTTAAACTGGAAAAAGCTAGCTGCTCCTAAAGAAGGAGGAGGGATGGGATTGAGGAGAGTACAGGATGTTGATCTTGCCTCTAAATGTGTCTTAGCATGGGATTTCCTATTATCAAAAGATAGGATTTGGGTGGCCTGGTATAACAATTACTATTTAAAAGACTTCTTCCTTTTGGCAGGTGATTCCAAAGGTGTCTTCTTCATCATTATGGAGGAGTATAGTGGCAGTGAGGGATATTCTTCAACTTCATAGCAGATGCTATTGGTGATGGTAATGGAATAAAAATATTTCTTGATTATTGGTGTAATGGACAATTTTTATCAAATTTATATAGTCGTAGGGTGCAACATCAACTGAATAGAGACAAGAACAAATACGTTGGTGATTTTATTTTCGAAGGTCAGTGGGATGTGAATAAGATTCCACTAGTTATGCAGCAGATCATTCTTCAGCAAATTATTCATGGAGGGGAGGATGAAATCTTTTGGCAAGGGTCACAATTTACCTTAAATCAGCATGGAATGTTTGTCGAATTAAAATGCAGGAGGTTTGCTGTGCTAGTGTTGCAGAATGCAGTGTTCACAAATACTCACTTGCAGAAATAGGGTTATTCCTTAGCTTCTAGATGTATATTCTGTTACAAGGGTGTGGAGGACAGTGATCATATCTTTTACCATTGTGAGTTTGCTTGGAAGGTTTGGGGAACTCTGGCAGACCTCTGTCACTGGAGGTTAAACTCATACAATTCAATCCGAGAAATGGCTTTGGATTTTTCAGTGCAATTGAAGATGAAATCTCAAAAGACAAAGTTGTATAAGATGCTGTTTACTGCTACTTTGTACTTTCTATGGAAAGAGAGGAATGATAGAGTGCATAATGGAATTTTTGCTTCTCCAGTTGAAGCGGCTAAGTGTATTTTGTGGGAAGTTATGGATATCTTAGGGGTATGCCTCCAAGATGTCATTTCAGTTTTTCATTAGGTTTTTGGGATGTTTTTACATCTTTAGGTTTGCCTGAAGGTGTTTCTGGATTTTTGATTGTGTTTGCTTTGGGGTATGCCCCATGTGTTTCTTGTATTTCTATTGTTTATATCTATAAAATTTCCTCCATTTAGGAAAAAAAATTATTACATACAAACTAATCTGACCAAATCAAACCTATTCCAAACAAACCCTAGCTTAAAAAATTAAATTCAAATTGAGCCATACTTGGAACTTAACTAGCCTGGTTAGAGATCAGGTTGAGTTGGAGTTTACGGTTTCAAATTCCGGACTCCTCTAGTCTAAGATTAATAATCCTTCCGTAAGCTTGTATGTATTCAAATCTTACCGTTACCTTAGTAATTAAATTAAAACACCTGTTGAACCAAAAAGGTCACACGGTTATTTCGTCTTGTCACATAGGTGGCTCGATTCACTTGCCATAAATCAAGATCCGAGCAAGCTCCATGAGCAGTAATTTGATCACACTGTTCCAATTTTCCTTCGTTATTTTTTTACCAAGTAGTTGATATCAGATGTTGGAGATTCAGTGCAAAGCAGTTTAAATACAAAATCAATTACACGAACTTGGCAACTTGTATATCAATTAAATTTCATTTCTCCAATCCAAATTACATTCAAGCTTTCAGATACTGAAGTAATGAGAAGCACAAGCTTCTCTCTTCTCTTCCAAGTTTCTCATATTCTACAAAGGATGAAACATAAACAACTCATCAATGTAATCATAATTTCCCAGACACCATTCGTTTTACGTGAAGTTACAAATCGAGGCAACTGCTGAGAAAGGAGTCAGAGGAGAGGGGTTGGAAAGAATAAATTAGTCGAGAGCTTCCATACGTTTGAGATTATGGATTGACTGCCTTAAAGAGGGGAAGAAATTGTAAAACTTCAGGGTCGTCGAAATATACCACGTGTGCATTCAATCTCAGAATATTGCACTGTTTCAAGTTGGCTACCATTAACAGAGAAGTTTGTATGAAGGCATGTCTTCAATTCGTAAGACGTCTTCTGTTAGAAGCTCCTTCTCAAGCTGAGCACGAGTAGATTTCAAAACATCCTATAAAATATAGGAATTATTAGTTAAGCAAGTACTCAGCAGAGAAAGACTGGAGAATGAGAGAATATGGAACCATTAGGTCTTTGCACAAACTAGAGCACACCGGCACATATTGCCAAAACAACCGAACCACATGCTTCAAGTTAATGTGATTTATGGTGGGGTTACTTACATTAAACTCCATGTAGTTGGCATTTCTCTCCAGCCACTGCTTGTCCATAACGACGAAAGCCACACAATAGAGCAAGTCAAAAGCCCACTCATTTTCTGAAAAAGCACATTAGAAATCTTCATTAATTTCAAAACCATGAAAACTATTCAGGTAAATGGACATGTAAAATATATAGTTGAAGTGGAATTCAAACCGTGAACATGAACGAATCTAAGGTGTCCCTTAATCATCTGGTAATACAATGCTTTAAACCAAACTAGCCTAGAGCTGGCGTGAGCAACAGTAGCTATGAAGGTTCTTCAGAACATCACACTAGGATCTGGAGACAAAATGCAGTATCTTACCTGACAAAATCTGCAAGAAAACTCCCCTGACAAATGTTCTCGGTTTTGCTGCAAGTAATTAAACTCACTTGAATTAGCAACCGCCAATAGAATTCATCAAGTATCATGCCAAAAGTTCAGACAGAATATGGATTCATCTAGGTCCGCTCAGATCAATAGAGCTCACTATATGGTATGGACCTAGCGTGTTCGCGTTTTGTGTGCATATTAGGTTATTGAATATTTTAAACTCTGAGCTAAGCTGTTTTCCCCTTACTGGCATCCAGGTCAAGCATTTGCATGATCATGAATGTGATATTTACACCAGCAACTGCAAATGGATACTCCCATAAAGCTCGCTCGCCTCCTTGCTTCTTTAAAAGTTGCTGAAAGGACGTCTGCAGCAGAAAGTAATTAGGAAAATTTAAACAAAATATAATGTTTTACTGTTTTTTACCATGTTTACATAGTTCCGGAAATATTAACCACATCAGCAAAAGGATTTAAGCCTTGTGCATTCGGTATTTCCACTAGATGAATTTTTCTAGTGTGAAGTTTTGGACGTAAAAACTGAATATTATGAAAACCAATACCTTTCTAGGTTAGGTAAATTGAAACCAAAACTGCTGCTTAATAAAATTAACCGCCCTAGAGAACAAGAGTCTTGGCAAGCAGGGGAAAATAAATGTGAATTTGATGTTCCCAATTGAACAGCCAAAATAGAATCTTACAGAAAATGTCTTAGCAAAAAACAATAGGTTCTCCAATGAAATGAATCCAGCTCCTCTGTTCAAAACATAGTATTGTCCAGATAAATTGAATTAGAAAAAGTATGCCAGATATTTTAGAGGGAAACATCAAACAACGAACTCGAGGATTACAGAGGGAAAAGCAACCTGAAATCAGTTGATGGATCTCTACCCTGCCAACCCATTTCTTTCCATTGATCGGATACCAAACCATGGAGCTCTTTACCAGGGTATGTCGCAGACCATAGAGCTCTCAAAGCTTCCTGTAATTGTAGAAATTCAGAAAGGAACTTAAAATAAAAGATTCGACTGAATTCGTAAAGAAATGTTGGAAAACTAAAATATAGTATGTTTAAGCCTGGTATTTCTTCTGTCACAATGTTCTCTTCCATAATATCATTTAAGAGCTCTCCACCATTGATGCTCAAGTTGAGTTCTCATCCCGACAAATAAATCTAGTACCAGGATTTATAAAAATGCTTATGCGTCAAAAAAAGAACAGAACACACACCTGATGTTCTACTCTAGAACCATCGAAATAAACCTTCATACGATGCTTCAACCTTCTCAATCTCTCTTCCTACATGTTTTTAAAATCTATCACTTGAAACAGATTCATGATGACAAATTTATGCCAAAAGTGAAATATGTAACCTGTTATTAAGCAAGGAAAAGCAATTGCCACGTAATTTCATATGTAGGTTTTACTCTATAATTTAAAATTTGGAAGCAAGTCAAAGTATGAATAACATGAAATGAAATAGATAAACATAATGAATAACAAAACAACTGTAGGAATCGCTACCATAGAACAATTCTCATTTTTAAACTTAACTGGCATAGAGCAACAATCTTATTTGTTTTAAACCTAAGACTTGCTTTATGTGAATCAATTGCATAATTGCAATAAAAAAAATGGTAGAGCATCCTGATAGAGCAGGAACCAAGGACCGGTACCAATTTGACAAGAGTTGTGTGTTCGCTGTCGGTATACATAAGACAAAACAAGAACCAACAAGCTAAATTGATAGGTCCACTGTCTGGTGAAGTTTGCTTTACCAAGGACAATGAGAGAGTGAGAGAGAGAAATGGGTTCAAATTTTGAGCTACCCTTTTGTAGTCTGGTGAAATTTATATACACACACACACAAACACATATATATAGACACACAAAAACAGAGTTCAGTCAAATATGGGAAAAAAAATTTGGTTAGTTCAAATGCATGTAATATGTACTGGGAAGGATTGATGAAAATGGACAAGCTTATATAAGCTTCCGAAAAAGCTTTAGTTGAACCAAACCTACACAGGCTACCTGTCAACAAAATTAGTTGAATTGGAGTTCAACAAAGTCCAAGTTCATTCAAGACAAGACAAAATAGCCTTTTAGCTTGGCTGAGCTCCTTGGCATCCCCACAAATAGTTAATAGGTTGTGAACAAACTTGAGGGGATGTAACACTCTAAAATTATTTTTATCTATTTGTCACAAATTCATAAGTGAAGGCTTGTGAGAAATTATATTGGACAAACAAAACCAAGGCACGGTCTATTTGTTCCCCATGCAAAGTAGTCTTTATAACAGAGCTAGCTATAGCCTATAGGTGGCTCAAGTCAAATGGATATAACTGATTCTATCAAAATCAGATGAACCGTATCTAGCATTTTCCATTTTACAATTCAGATGCAGGGTGTGAGTCTGTTTTCCTGAGAATCTGAAGAGGAGGTCCCTCACAATCTTGAATTGAGACTGGTCAGTCCAAGAACACTCAACCCATGAATGAGGTTACACTGATATAGTACTTTATTTTTTAAAAAATATAGTAGAATACACTAAGATACTTTAAAATATAGTAATTAATAATCTGCATCACATCATGAAATAAAAAAGGTGGCTGGATAGGCCAATCAATGATAAATTAAACTCTAAACTAATTTTAGAACCAGAGCAGCCACTTTTGACAGCTCCATTCATATATCTAGTTTCAATATAGGGCAAGCAAAGTTATTTCTAGTAAATTTGGTTGCTTCCACAAAATTCGAAGTAATGAGTTCACATGCAAAATTCTCTGAAAGCATACAAAATAACTTCTTTTTTTTTTTCCCTAGTTGATACTCGCTCGCACACAGCCCCTCAAGGAATTGTTTGCATACAAATTAACTTTGGCGGTAACATTAATGAAACAGTTCAACTCCAGTGTGAAATGAAGAAAGCAGCACAGAAAATCAACTTTTCAAAACAATAAGAAACCAAAATTTTAGGGAGAAGAAATAAATACATAAAGACGAACAAACCTGTTCAGTTTAGTTCTCTGGAAACAGTTTTCTTTATTTTCGGTAAGTATTGAGATAAAAGTTTTCAAAAACTCCAGAAACAGAAAACAATTTTCAGAGAATTATAAGAGAGGCAATTCACTGAAAGCAGTCCCTCTTTTACTTCAGTTTCAAAAAAACTGTCAACCAGACAAAATTTTGAACTGTTTTCTGTTTTTCAATTCTCTGAAAAGAAAAACTGCTCTTAAATTACTAAACCAAGCAGGTGCTATGATAAAGTTTCCTGAGAGATTATTGATGCACTTGCCTGTAAGGGTGTCAAATTGATGCAAATTCGTTCATAAGTTCCCTTTCTCTTGAAACAAATGCAAGTGAGGCCCTTTCCCATCCGCGTTGGCGTCCCACAAGTTGCATCATCTGCACTCAACAAATGGACTTCTGCCTTAAGTATATGATTCTCAATCAGCTAACTATCTAATTACAATAATTAATTTTACAAAAATTTGAACAAACCCTAGGAGGAGAATAAAAACATGCCTCAACACAATTATTTAATGGATGAAACAAAGAAAATGGCAGTAACACTTTTTTGGATTTGGTTTCTGATCAAATACTTGAGAAGGTCTGGCAGTGAAGCTTGGTGGTGAAACAATAGCGTACAAGAAAAATATTATCAGTAAAGTAAAGAAAATGAAAAGGTATCTGCTTTCATGCAACTTTTTCGTTTACACGAATTTAGATCTATATGAGAGTGGATGGAGGAGGGAAGTTGCTTTCATGTGACAACTCAATTTAAACCTTTTGAGGAACTCCGGATGACCAATTGGCCTTACATGAAGTTCTCAAGAACAAACTAACTTGGAATATTTCAGTCCTACCCCCAAAAAAGGAAATAATAATATATATATATATAGAGAGAGAGAGAGGAGGCTGCTGTCCTCTTACAACCGCTGCAGAAGTCAACTTTCTACTTCACACATACATAAACACACACATGTATATATGCATGCATACATAGATATACTGACAATTAGCTTAGTTGATTGTGCTGAAGATGTAATTGCATCGCTGCACTACAAACATGGTAGATTGGCATCTGAAAGGAAGTGATGAAGTCAGGAAATAATTTTTACGATTTTCAAATTAAAAAACAAAGACAAGAGAAAGAAACAGATATTAAAAAATATATATATTGATATGATCATGACAGCAATTTGTTTCAACTTATTTTTTTTCTTCTCGTTTTCAAAACGAAAGGTGTATAGATCAATAATAAAATCTCCCGTGATCCGTTGGTCCAATTGCTTTTAGGTCATTGACCACATTGAGGATACAACACAAATCACCACTATGCCTGCAAAGTATTTGTTTCTTTTCTTATCTTTTCTTTTTCTTTTTTCCTCCTTCTATCGGGACCGCAGATAGAATGAGGGAGGGTAGTCGAACTCAACAATGTGGTTATTACCACCGACACACCTCGACTCATATTCCTCCTTTTGGCTGCAATTAAATAGAGAAAATGCAGGGCAGTACTTCCCTTCACATTCTTTTCCTCTTGAAACTGAAACTAGCAAGGATGAAAAAATAAATAAAATAAAATAAAAAAATAGTAAACTGCCAGCATTGCATTCTACTGACTGCAGAGCACCATAACTTCCTTCAAAATTTTCTTAAAGACACATTAATCCATTCTTAAATTGAAACCACCAAACGAACCACATTTGGTGGAATCTTGTACTAGACCGAAATAAAAAATAAAAAAAAACCAACAACAACAACAACAATAACAACACTACAATTTAGCATATTGATTACATTAAATTAAATTGAAATAGCTACCCACCTTTCTGTGTTCACATTTAATAAACTAAATAAATTTTCACATTTAGTTTACAGACTAAAAAATTATTAATAGGCAACTTAAAAATTACATAGATGCAACGAAGTTATAAATTGTTAATAGTGAGAAAGAGATCAATTCGTGATTAGGAAAATCAAACCAATAAAAATCAATTCGTGGTATTTGGAGAAAAAAAAAAACATTTTTTATTTTACCGAAAGTCTAATTTCATTAGATGGTAAGAGCAAAGCTCGGAGAATATAATCATTTCAAATAAATTCGAATAGTTGTAATCTTTCTATTAGAAACAAGCCACTTAAATAATAATAATAATAATAATCAAAATGAAATGAATAAATAAATAAAAAATGAATCATTGCAACAAATCAATCAATCATCGGAACATCAGAATACATAACATTGTATCCGAAATCCAAACTGCCAGTTACTGGATTGCGATGATCTAAACTTCTTGGCAGAACAACTAATCGAATTCATATATATATACACACGCATAAAAATATAGATATAGATATACACATTAATACATAAATATATATAGAGAGAGAGAGGGAAAAAAAAAAAAGAAAAGTGATTTGATTTGAGAGGACCTAACGAAGCAGAAGCGTGAGAGCATCTGGAGTTGGATGAGGGATGGAATGTACGGATTGCGACACAGCTTCCCCGAGTCTTCATTTGAAACTAGAAGTGGGTTGTTTCTCTCTCTAGACTTCGATCCCTTAGCAAACATACAGACAGTTACACACAGACAGACAGATATATGGAGAGAGAGAGAGAGAGAGAGAGAGTTCGTCGTTTCTCGCGGCTATTGTAGAGTTGTATGTAGGTCCGAGTGAAGTGTTTTAAATCGACGAAAGTAAAAACAAATGGTAATTCCTTTAATTTCAAATCGACCAAATCTAATCTCAATTTAGTTTAGATTTGATTACTTTTGTTGTTGTTTTAAATACTAATCTCAATTTAGTTTAGATTTCATTATTGTTGTTAGTTTTAAATATTTAGATTTGTGATAATGTTTTAGATTGAAGATTTTTTTTTAGTTTTAATAAAAAAGAAAAAACTTGACAACAATCACACGCACATAGATCATTTCCAACCATGTATATATTTTATTTTTTATTTTTTATTTTTATTTTTATTTTTATTTTTTTGTATAAATATGTGTGATTTACACAAAAAATTTAAATTATTTAATTTTAGTTTCAACGGTTGTTTTATTGTGTAAAAATATATGTACCAATAACAATTAATTATGACAAACTTACTTAAAATATAGTTGATTTTTTAATAAAATGAGAAAAATGAATGAAAAATGAAATATGTTAATTTGTTCGTGTAAAGTACATAATCTTTTTACACATTGGTGATGTGGCGATGGAAAAAATTTACACATTATAAGTGACCGTGTATATTTTACACAAAAAAATATTTTAACATACCGCTAGATAGAGATGCTCTTAACCATTTATACTTAAATTATGACCCCAAGGTGAGAAATATCACTAACTGCATTGTAACATTATTATTAGAGTTAATTCCATAAAATTCTCATTATTTTTAAATTTTGACCACAAATCTAACTTATTTCATAAAACCTTCCACACTTTAAAAAAATATCAAATTACTTCAATATCCATGTCCAACCGAAGGAAAAGATAAATTTGACCTTATTATTATTTAATGTTATATTAAAAATTAAAAATAATTTTAAAAAATTACAAAAACACCAATTCCTAACAATTTCACTCCATCTGTACTCTCTCCTCTCTCTATTAGCAACCCAACACACAGTATGTTGATTCAATTGAAGACAGAGGGTTTTGGTTTTGAGGCTCTGTGTTCAGTTCGTTAACGAGGGGAAAAGAAAGAGATACCCCCAAAGGCGGTGGTATCATAGTCTTGCCAATCATGGAGTCCGGCGAAGACAGACCCAGTCAGATGACTGCCAACCACGACACAACTGTGAGCACGAAGGTGACCGAACCTTCAACAACCATTCATGGTTCTTTCTCCGTAACCGTAGCCAAACTTTCACGGTGAATAGAACCGCAAGCTCCGAGCAACGACAAGCTCTACAACGGAAACCCCAACTCCGGCGAAGCACTGGACAAATAGCGACCCAAAATAGATAGCTTCAGGTATCGTCATTCGTCGCCTTGCCAATCATAGAGCCCGGCAAAGACAGAACCAGTCCGGTGACGGTGGTAGCCATGACAACCGCGAGTACGAAGATGACTAAACCTTTAACAGCCATTCATGTTGTTCCTCCATATGATTGTAGCCAAACTTCCACGGTGAATAGAGCCGCGAGCTCCAAAGCAACAACGAGCTCTACAACGGAGACCCAACTCCGGCGAAGCACCGAACAAATAGCGACCCAAAACAGAGAGCTTCAATGCTATAGTTCCGACGGTGACGAGACCCACTTCATGATTCCGACCAAGCTTCTGTTTAGAGAAATAGAGGGGGATAAACCCATGTATTCAATTTCAAGGCCAACATGATTGAAACCAAGCCCTGGACGCTGCCATTTTGCTCTGGGACCCCAAATGATATATACGAACCTATACGATGCCCTTTTGTTGTTGCTAGCGGCGAACAGAGGGTCTCGCCTGTCCTCTTCATCGCGATGGAGATGGCACACCAACATCTTAGGGTTTTGCACTGTTGGATCTTCAAATCAAGGTTAAATTGAAAAGAGAGAGAAGACGGGGTGAACCACCAACCCTTTGTTGTGTCTATTTTAGAGAGTTTTAGAGAGAGAAAGAGGGGGGTGAATGGGTTGGGTTGCAGATAGAGAGAGAGTATGGATGGAGTGAAAGCTACGGAGCACGGACACTCCCTTCTAGGGCCGTACTCGTGTCGAATACTTTTCAGACGTGGACATTTGTGTTCGAGGCTCGGATACGTGTCCAACACTTCTGTAAAGTGTCTAAATATTATTTTTTATTGGATATGCATGTCCGAGACTCGGACACAGGGTTCGACACTTCTGTGAGATAAAATTTATTTTCTCTCACTCCTCTTAGTCTTTCCTCTTCTTCAATTATCTCTTTTTATGAACAAGATATATATATATATATATTTAAGTTACATGAACAAAACATTGTGAAAGACTGAAAGTATATATATTTATTCATATACATATTTAGTTCATTATAGTTATGTCTCTTCTGCATATCTTCGTTTAGAATTTGGATCAACTTTATTTTTTATTTATTTTCTGTTTTGTCTTGTCCATATTTTTCTTATAACAGAGATGAAATTATTGAAATTGATTCTGTTCTTTGTTGTTGTTTTATTTATCTATACAAGATTCTAGTAATTATATTTTGAATATATATATATATATATATATATATATATATATAATTTTATAGGCGTATTCCCGCCGTGTCCGTGTCCTATTTTTTTGAAATTTACCGTGTCGCCGTATCCGTGTCGTATCATACCCGTATTCCGTATCCGTGTCCGTGCTTCATAGAATGAAAGTGTAAAATATGGGTGTTTTTGTAATTTTTAAAAATTATTTTCAGTTTTTAATATAACATTAAATAATAGTAAAGTCAAATTTGCCCTTTCACAATCTGGTAATATATGAATATTGGAACAATGTGATTGCTTTTTAAAGTGTGGAGGGTTTTATGAAATAGGTTGGGGATTTATGATCAAAATTTAAAATGAGTGGAGTTTTTATGAAATTAGCCCTTATTATTATTACCATCACTCCTTTTTTGGGATATATTTTTATTATTATTCTATATATTCCTTTCATCCCACTAAACTTGTTTACTTTGGAAACTGTGACTCATGTCTTATTTATTTTGGGAGTAAGTTACAATTACCAAAGTGAACGACTCTTATAAGACAGAGAGTATATTTTACTCAACAGCTTCCCATTGATTTTGATGGTTCATGAGCGTGCACATAGTTTAATTTGGTTCAATTTTAGAATGAATTAGAATGAGATTGGTTTCAAAAGATTCAGCTGTTTCATAAATAAATTGTAGTGAAATTAAACCATGATTGACTTTGGTTAGTTCGATTATACGGTTTTGGACTTTCGTATATATGTGTGTGTGTGTATATTTATAAAATGAAGGAGCAAAACATGAAAAATATATATGTACTACGTATACGATTATCCATGTATTGTGGTGTATCGTAAATTATATGCTGTGCAAATTTAAATTAAATATTATATTACAATATTTTTTTTTATATTATAAGTTATAAATAATTGTTCGGTTTCAATCGGTTTTTATTTTCTAATCTCAAATCAAAACTGAAATGTTATAAAATTTTAAAATTAAAACCGAATCATTTCATCATTGAATCGAACCAATTGCACAATTCAACTAGGTTGGATGCAATCAACCAAACCGCATAATTCAACTAGGTTGGATTCAATTTATCAATTCTAACAATTTTTCGTACACTCCTAATTTGAATTATTCTATCTTCTTATCTTTAAAAATAAAAAATAAAAATATTTCATTCTTCACCATTTGAAGAGAAATAAGCCTTATAATAAGGTAAAAAAAGGACAAGAAAAAAACATATGAGCTTTTGGATTTGGACTTTTTGGAGCAAAACACAATATTTTGCAAATTTGCTTCTATGCATGGAGACAAATAGTCCACAACAGTCTTTCTCCCTCACATGGCACTGCAGGCCGGTCTCTAAACCGTTCTGTCAACTGCACAATTATAAAATTCACAAATTAATCCCCACTTCAAATATATATATATATATATATATATATATATATATATATAATGGCAGATAGGAAGTGATAGTCGCATAGTACCACTCTCCTCTCATGGACAAATGACAAGCACGTAATATTTTTAATGAGGCAGTCCTCCTGTTTAGCCGGTGCCAATCGCTGTCTATTTATTTCTTTTTTTAATAATTGGATGGGAATTTGATGACTTAATTGTCTTGTTTATTTAATAATTCATTTAAAATTTTATTTTAAAGAATAAATTTCACACAGTAAAATTTTACGCACTTGATACTTAGCATTTGAAACAATATCAAAGATGTTCTCAAATTCTTTTTAGTGTTCAGAATTTTACTATAAAATTTTAAGTACACTTGTTCGGTGACTTTGGTTGCACCGAAAATTAGCACATATAAAAAATTGGCACATGTTATTTTAATGTGTTTTGATGATCTATGGGTCCAACAAAATGTTCATTTCATGGCTAATTAGGATGGATTAGATGGTTTGTTTGGTCAACAAAATCCCATAATTTAGGAGATCTACACATTAAATGAAGGCCATTCTTGTTAAAAAATAAAAAAATAAAAACACATTTTTTGTCGAACCAATAAAATACGGTGGACTACTTATCATTTTTCATACTTCCATATATATATATATATTGAAAAGTAATCAACTCGTTTGATTTATCACTCAGAAAACACTTATCAATAACTTAGAAACATAAAATTGTTTTAAGAGATATCTAAAAGATAGTTATCACATTTCTATAATTGAGTTAGCTTTTAAGACCTAGCCATAACTTGAAATGGGACCTTGAAGAAAATATATGATTGCCCGATTCATCGTGTAGGGGGCATCACCCACATAAACGGTTACAATGTGTCCGGTGCACCGAGCACATTGTATATTATTTTCATCATTTGTGAGTTGAAATTGAAAAAAATAAAAATAATAATAAAAAAAGCCCTTAATTGCGCCATTTTTAAGAATATAACTTGGTAAATAAACACCATTCTTCATCCCAAAAACAAAGAAAAGGGTTTTCAAAGAATTTCATACCCTTCACTCTTCGCTACTACTCTGTCCATTTTCTCGATGGTTCGCTGGCACTAGACTGTCCTTGTTTTCTCTCACTATTGGGTAGGGGCAAATGATATATCATATAAGGTATAATTCAACTACAGGAATGCAATTAATATTTTTTAAATAAAAATAAAATGGACGGCAATTTTCTCTAATGATCTTACTTCGTCTTGTTTTGTTATAGGCATGAAGTTTCAGACAATTCTTCTTTCTTCATATAGGCTGTCTAATTGTACAATTTTCCATATTTAAAACGCAATTGTTCCTTTTATTATATGTGGTGCGTGCATGGTTAACTTAATAATATTTGGAGAGCCAATAGGTGCTTCTTCTTTTTTTCCCTATCCATTGTGGAAATGAAATCATCACTTTTAGAAAATTAAAATTAAAATAGTTTGTGTACAAGTGTTATACCATAAAGTATAGAGGATCAAAAATGATGTTTATACTTTGTCATATTTTTGTGAGGACCGGACCATCTTCCTACGGTCCTACATGGATGGGCTTAGATATTTTTAAGGTGGTTGGGCTTACTCAGATGCTTTTAAGGCGGTGCGTGATATCAATTATAATGGATCAAGTATTTCGTAATTTGATTTAAAAGTCTAAGTTATTAAGTGAAATTAACACTCAATTCAAATAGGGCAATACTTGTCTACTTACCGGTGAATAGAAAACTTATAGTCACTGCGTATATGGCATAATACTAAATTGACAAGTGTACTTATATTTAAAATAATTAAAAATAAATAATTTGATAACTATCATGTTAAACCCAAATGAATCCGAATCAAATTCTAATTTTAATTCTATCTTCTTTCTCTTTTTCACGCTAATTTTATCCGTCTCTCCCCCCTGTCTGATTTATATTTTTAGAGAGAGAAACTCATATCTCCAAAATTTCAAAACCACCCTTTTTTACCTCAACTGGGACCACCACATCTTTACGCACCTTCCCCAACTTAGATTTCTCAACCCTTACCAATTCAATCAGATCAACTGATCAGGGTATAATTATAATATTAAGCACCATCAAACATAGAATGACTGAATTGTATAACATCTATTCCAACAAGGGGAAGAGAAAAAAAAGAAAGAAAAAGAATTCATCATACATGATCAAATTCTTATATGTCCTCAAAATTAAAAAAAAATAATATATATATATAATATATATAATTCTTTTATTTTGATTTTTATAAGAAAAACCTTAAGCCTTAGCCGTGGCTTTGATATCAATTCTCCGAAGACACGAGTTTCTCTCTCGAAAAATATGAGAGGGGGGGAGGGGGGATAGGAAGAGGGACAGAATGAATAATCTCTAAAAATATGAGAATATGAGGAGAGAGAGAGAGGGGGATAAGGAGAGGGACAGAACGAATAAGATTAGGTGTGAGAAAGAGGGAGAGGAGAGAGAATTATAATTTGATTTGTATTAATTTAGGTTTAATCCAAATAGCTATCAGATTATTTATTTTTAATTATTTTAAATATAAATACACTTGTCAGTTTAGCATTGTGTCACATACGTAGTGAGTATAAGTTTTCTATTCACCGGTGAATAGGCAAGTATTATTCACCCAAATATACCTATTTTACTTTCCATTTGGATCTGTGTGACAAAACTCCTCCTTGTAATACACAACCACAATGATCACCAGTGCCTCTTAGTAGGTACCTCAATTTTGAAAAATAATACAAAAGGCTTTCTACCTCCAAAGGTATATGGTGAGGGTTCAAAACCCTATAGAGACAAATGAGTACGTAGATTTCTTGTCAATGGAAAGAAAAGGAAAAAAGAAAAATGATGACGCTGCTAGCAAATCTTCAAAATATCAAGTTTTTAGACAAAGAATGGATTTGGACATGTTATCCAAATGCATCCCCTGCATGCCTTTCACATCAAAATCTGAATAAATTATATGAATCATTGTGAAAGAAATGTGCTTCCTTTTATGCTCATGTTTAGTTTCGGACTTGCGAGAAATCAGTGTCACAAGTGATAGTAATATAAAAACAGGGCCAACATCTTCTCAGCCTTGTAATAATTTTATTTTAACAATAATAATAAAAAAAACTTACAAAACAAGAAAGTGAAATGATAAGTTCAGTTATGTAATTAGACTGAAGTTTATAGTAATGAAACATTGCTCGTGGGATAGTGTAATGGGGGGTAAAAAACTTAAACAGGATGTAGAAGAGAAATGAGATCTCTCCCCAAACCGTCCCATTACCATCCTAAAGGTAGCCAATGCTGGGAAATAAAAGGCAAATTGAGAAGAAACAAAAAAGAACCTTTTATGGGCCTTTTCCCAATCTGGCCCAAATACTTATAAAAAAAAATAACAAGAGAAGAGTAATCCAGCCCATATTGACCCGGAAAATTTGTCTGAAGAAGTAGGGTTTTGCGTAAGTCGTCTTTCCCACATATAACGAACACTATCGCATTGGGGCAGCTCTTGTGGCGGAGAAAACAAGTGAAGCACGACTCCGAAGCAGCGAACATGGTTTGCACTCTCTCTTTATACATATACACGTATATACATGTCTGTCTGTATACTGAGCAGTTCTGAAGCTTTTCTCTCAATATTTCAGGTGAAGTACTCAAAAGAGCCAATCAATCCCACCAAATGTAAGTAATTCTCTGCTTTGAGCTATTTGAACAGCTACAATAGTTTCTCTCTCTAGAATTTTGTCACAGAGTAGGGTTTATTGCTATTCTCATGTTATGTTCCAGCTCTTTTTTGGTTTTTTTTTTTTATCTGTTCTGATATCAATAAAGTAAATCGTCTATAAATTTGTTACTCTTTCATGTGTTGGAATTCATCGTGTTTGAAAGTTTTGCATCTTGTAGTGTTGTCTCAGTGTTTATCATTTGTTCTCACCGTTTATTGCCTGTTATAATGCAGCCTGCAAGGCCAGAGGCTCTGATCTGAGAGTTCATTTCAAGGTACCACGAAATTATTGTTGTCTTGTTATTATTATTTTTTGCATTTTCGCCTATGTGATATATGTGATGGAAATGTGGACATTCATTTTTTTTTTTTTTTTTTTTTTTTTTTTTGGATTTTGTAAATTTCTTGTTTTGTAAAATCTGAATATATATATTTGTTGATTTTAAGGTATGGTGGGTTTAGCTCAGATATTGAGCTTCTATGTTTTCCTTTGTGACAAAATGTAATTTTGTGAAATTTAGGACTAATTTGCTTTGGCAATGCTCTATAACCTGATGAAAAAAGCAGGGGCTCGTTGCCTTTTGTGGACAAGCCTCTCGTAAACTTCAGGGAAATGAATTTGCATTGTCATTGGGTGAATCTCTTGAGTAGTTTGTGAAGGATGGTTCAGTATATGATGGAACATTATAACAGGTTTAATTGCATTAATAGATACTTTAAAAATATTGTCGTAGTTAAAGTCCTATATTGTTTAACTCGGATATTGAGATTTGATTCACTGTGTTTGATTTTGGTTCCTTGTTGCTTTCCTTTATGACAATAAATTATTATTTTTATTTTTTTTAAAATTTAGAATGAACTTGTTTGGTCTATGTTCGATAACCTGATGAAAAAAGCAGGGGCTTGTTGCCTTTTGTGGATGGGCCTCTCTTAAACTTCAGGGAAATGAATTTGCATTGTCATTGGGTGAATCTCTTGAGTAGTTTGTGATGGATGATTCAGTGTATGATGGAACATAATAACTGGTGTGGTTACATTTACAAAAATATTGGTTCAGATCTTCTTGTTTTGCATCTAGGGTTAGTTGAAGTTTAACTCAGATATTAAGATTTGATTCACTATGCTGATTTTGGTTCCATTTTGTTTTCTTTTACGATAGAATAAATTTTCTTTGAAATTTAGAAGGAACTTGTATGGTCTTTGTTTGATAACCTGATGAAAAAAGCAGGGGCTCGTTGCCTTTCGTGTACAGGCCTTTCTTAAAGTCCAATATTGTTTCAAAAATATTGTCCCCTTCTTTCCTTGTTTTGCGTCTAGGGTTAGTTAAAGTCCAATATTGTTTACTAGATATTGAGATTTGATTCACCATGTTCATTCTGGTCCCTCTTTGCTTTATTTTGCGACAGAATATTTTTTTTTTGAAATTTCGAATGAACTTGTTTTGTTTGGTCTGTGTTTGATAACCTGATGAAAAAAGCAGGGGCTCGTTGCCTTTTGTGGACTGGCCTCTTCTAAATTTCAGGGAAATGAATTTGCATTGTCATTGGGTGAATCTCGAGTAGTTTGTGATGGATGATTCAGTTTATGATGGAACATAATAACTGGTGCGATTGCATTGACAGATGTTTTAAAAATGTTGTTGCAGCTTTTTTTTTTTTTTTTTTTTCGGCGTCTAGGGTTAGTTAAAAGTCCTATATTGTTTAACTCAAATATTAAGCTTCGATTCACCGTGTTGATTTTGGTTCCTCTTTGCTTATGTTTATGACGAAAGAAAAAGTTGTGAAATTTAGAATGAACTTGTTTGGTGGCCTGAGTTAAAATCCCATATTGTTGGTCTTTCCTTATCTTTACGACAAAATAATAATTTGTGGAATTTAGAATGAACTTGTTTGGTCTATGTTTGATACCTGATGAAAAAAGTAGGAGCCCGTTGCCTTTTGTGGACATGCCTCTCATAAACTTCAGGGAAATGAATATGCATTTTGCATTGTCATTGGGTGAATCTCTTGAGTAGTGTGTGATGGATGGTTCGATATATGATGGAGCATAATAGCTGGCATTATTGCATTTTTGGATGCTTCGAAATATTGTTGCAGTTTTTCTTGTTTCACAGGTAGAGTTAGTTAAAGTTCGATATGCCACACCTGGAAAAAAAATGGGCTCTTTAGTGAGTCTCCTTAAATTGCCATTCCTTTCCTTATCACAAAATTTTCATATATTATTTCCTAGACCCTTGTCAAAAAAAAAAAAAAAGAAAAAAAACAAAAAATCATGTCCTAGACATGCTTCTACACAAATACAGGGGTTTTTATATGGGGTAAATGCAAAAAAATCCTTGAACTTTCTCAGATATGCAAATAACCTAATGTACCCCTTGTACTTATGTAAAAACCTACAAATAATTTATTCTATTGTCATTTATTTTTCATTAGAAATTTGATGGAAAAAGGCACGTGAACCTCATATAAATTGGAGTTATATTTCTTTTCCATTTTGTTTCCATTCAAGAGTTCATATTTGTTTCCATGCCTCTTCGAGACTGAAAAATGGACAAATTCCTTTTCTTTTATATTTTGACTAGTGTGTCATTTTGAGTGGACTAAACTACTATTTGTAAACTGTAAAAGAGGATCCGTTTCTATGGACTTAACTCATGCTCTGCTTAGAAATTTTGTCACAACATGAGTAATGGGTGAAACTGAGATGTCTAAAGAGAGTGATTCATTGAATCTTGCAATGACCTCGTCTTTTCCTTTTGAAATGTTGTTTTATTGAAGCTTGGATTAGGTTTTTTTCTTTCAAATGGATTCATTTTGTAATCACTTGTGCGCTTGGGTCAATGCAATGTTTTGTTTCAGTTTTTGTTGTAAAGGAGTGGTTGCATGTATCGTTTGCTGGAGTTCACTCACTTTTGCTGAAAGTACTCGTCAGTGGGTATTCCATGTTTAAAGTTTAAGTATTTATTAGTTAATTTGATAGAATTCAGTGTTTTCTTTCTTGGTCATCAATACTTTAATTGTCTTGCTATTGTGTTGTAATTATCTCCATATGTTATAATAGATTTTCCAATTTGATTGCTAACCTGTATTCTGTTCTGTCTTCCTATTGACTTCAAGAACACAAGAGAGACAGCGCACGCCATTAGGAAGCTGCCTTTGACCAAGGCTAAGAGGTATTTGGAGGATGTTCTGGTCCACAAGCAGGCCATTCCCTTCACACGCTTCTGTCGTGGTGTTGGCCGGACTGCTCAGGCAAAGAACAGGCATTCTAATGGACAAGGACGTTGGCCTGTCAAATCTGCCGGATTTATACTGGATTTATTAAAGAATGCTGAGAGTAATGCTGAGGTACTGATAGTCTGATCCTCTGGCCATACTTTAGCCATTAGTCATTCCGACCTTCAACCTCAGTTAACATGCTGATTGTTTGTTCATTCTTTAGGTCAAAGGTTTGGATGTAGATTCTCTTTACATATCACACATTCAGGTGAACCAGGCACAGAAGCAGAGGCGCCGCACATACCGTGCTCATGGAAGAATAAACCGTATGTTTGATTTCTCTTTTTTTCTTTGGGTGAATACGTTTGATTTCTTGTTTTATATTGTCTGCATTTCTCTCTTTGTTTTAAGTATTATAAGGAACAAATATTTTATTTTGATTGATGATTTATTGCTTTTATACCGTCTTGTGCATTTCTTATGTGTTTTAAAGATTTTAAGGAACATATTATTTATTTTGACAGCATATATGTCATCTCCCTGCCATATTGAATTGATTCTGTCCGAGAAGGAAGAGCCTGTAAAAAAGGAGGTAATCCATTTATCAGTATTTAATTTTAACATAAAATTTTGAGGAAGATTAGTGGTTAAAGCAATGAGGATATAAATTGTCACTTGTCTTATTCACCCTTTACCATTTTGCAGCCCGAGTCTCAGCTGACGACCGGTAAATCCAGGAAGTCTCAAGCTCTACGCAGCAGTGCCTCCTCTTAAATGACATTCATAGAGCCGACAATTTAAGAAGTTTTGATTTGTCCGACACTTAAGAGGGTTTTGTTGAATTGTATTGTTGCTATCCAATGCTATTTAGTTGAATGATTGAGTTATTATTTGAAGTTCTTGACTAGTGTATGTTGAATGTATGGTGATAATGAATTTTTACTGATGCTTAAGACGAGATTATCATCTTTTAATCATTGTTTTTTCTCATTTTTTGTGATATTTGAGACTGATGGTTCGATGTGTGCATTAAAAGCATGTTATATTTAGGCCATCTATTGTGGTTTGTTAGTATGGGCGTGAAGTTTCTGTAATCTAAGGGTTTATTAGGTTGTTTCTGTAATCCAAGGGTTTATTAGGTTAGCACAAGTGTGTCCAGTGGCTATAGTCCATTTTTTCTACAGAAAGGGAAATCAAACTACTCGGTTTTGAAAAATAAAAAAAGCCTGAGATTTCAGTTTGTTTCAGATTTCAGATTTTTATTTATTTTTTTAAACCAATGTTATTATTATTGTTATTATTTTTGTCCAAGAAGTCAAATTCTTTTTGCTAAAGCCCATTATGTACAAATTAAAGTGTATATGCAACATTCTCCATCTTCCAATTTTAGTTTTTTTAAAAAAAAATTTGGTGGTGTTGCGTTTTTTAGAGCACTTTATAATATATTTATGAGCATATATATAGACCTTCCACCGGTCTTAGATGATTTTCTATATATATATATTTTTTGGTTATGTGGTTCAATCTAGAGAGGAATTTATTTTGAGAAAGCTCAAACCAACGAGCTCACACTCACTGTGGTGTGGCTCATTATGACAGAACAATTATATTCAGTCTTGCAATTTTAAGGGCTCACACTCACTGTGTTGTGGCTCATTATGACAGAACAATTATATTCAGTCTTGCAATTTTAAGGGCAAATTCTCTTTCCGGATTTATTTGGACATGTAAAATATGATTTTAGTAATCTACACGGGTGGTTTAGTGGTCAAAGGAAGGAAGCTGTATAAAAAATATTCAGATTTAAATGATGTATGTAATTTTTGGACAAGTAAAATATGCTTTTAGTAATCTGCACTGCACGGGTGGTTTAGTGAAAAAAACATTCTGATATAAATGATATATGTAATTTGCCAATAATTGTACGTATCCAAAATTTAATAAAAATCTACTCGGTAAGTGCCCCTCTTAAAGTATGTTAATCAAATTCAATAAAACTTTAATTATTCATCAAATGTCCTTCACTAAAATAACTAAGAATCATGAACAATTTGAAAAATAAATGACCGGAAAAATGTAGGAGAGAAGCATATGCCATAATTTAGTAAAAGCGCGGTAGTACTTTATTCAAAATTGACAGGATGCCCTTTCCATATTGACATGGAATTAAATCAAGCATAATGAGGAAGTCATACTTCAGTTTCACTGCTTACCAAAAAATAAAAGAAAACATAAATATTTTCCAAAAACTACTATTTAAAAAAATAATTTTTCCATTTCATATATTAAAAAATCAAGTGAAATTTGAGACTATTGAATATTATATCGATATAAAAATTAGGATTCATAATCACTTTTATGATTTAAATAAAATTTTGCATTTTTTTAATTAAAAAATTAATTTTGTTTCCCCTAAATACCATTATTTATTTATCTATTTTAACTAGTAGGAATTAGGATATATTGACCAGTGAGATTGCTTTTGGTCCTTTAGATACATTTGTAATCTTTCGTAGCCTTCTCTTTCAGACATCGTCTTCCTTCTTCGCCCAACTATTTGCTTTACGGTGAGTCTTTTTGATCTCTCTTTCCCCCTCTCTCTATATATAAATGTATTTGCGTATGTGTGAATGCGTGTTTATCTTATCTATAGTTCTTAGGGTTTAATTCTTTAACTCTATTCAATTTCTGATAAAGATCTCATTTTTCCTTCTACATCTAATACTCTGTCTCATACAGATGGATTGGCAAGGGCAAAAGTTAGCGGAGAATCTGATGCAGATAATATTGTTGGCCTTTGCGGTGATCGCTTTCATGACTGGCTATGTCGCGGGCTCGTTTCGGACAATGATGCTAATATACGCCGGTGGTGTTGTTTTCACTACTCTCATCACTGTTCCCAATTGGCCTTTCTTCAATCGCCACCCTCTCAACTGGTTGGATCCCAGCGAAGCATCCGAAGCCAATTCTAAGAAGAAAGCCACTAAAAAGTAGGTCTTTTTCGCTGATCCTCTTGACCAATTTCTAGGCTCTTTGATGGTTTTGGATGTATTGCCCAATGAAGCTATACTGTTCTTGCTTTCCTTAACTATTGCAACTTTATATAATGACTAGATGAAATTTAATTTTCACATTTGTGTTTGATTTTTTTTTTTTTCCTAATTGGTACTCTCACCCATGTCTCTGTCTCTGCTGAGACTTGAACCCTTAACCTCCCTTTGGCAAGTAAGAGGCCGATACCGCTAGGCCACTGACCCATTGATAATATTTTTTCAATTGCTGGTTTTAGTTCTTGTGTGCTTTAATGTTTGTGCTTTGTTTGTGGCAAACGAATACGGAGTAATAAATAAGCTAAAACTGAAATTCTATAGAAGGGTTATTAGGCCAGCAATGGAGTGGAGTGTTGGGCATTGAAGAAAACACAAACACAACACATTCATGTAGCGGAAATGAGGATGTTATGTTGGATGTTAGGAGTTACTAGAAGGGATAAGACAAACACTACCGTGTGAGGGGAGCATTAGGTGTTGCGCCTATAGGTGATAAAATTAGGAAAAGTAGACTTAAGTGGTATGGTCATATTACCCGATGATGCACCTGTTAAAAGAAGAAGAGTTGTTTGCCTAGAAGGTAAGCGCCAAAGAGGCCGACCAAAGCTTCTATAAAAAACGATTTCAAAAAATTAAATTTAAGGGAAGATATGGTGTATAATAGGAAAGAATGTGAAAAGAGAATTCATGTAGCTGACCCATTCATATGGGACAAAGGCAAGGATGATGAGGATGATGATGATTGTTTGTGCTCCGTTTAGTTGTTTGTTGAAGTGTTTCCTTTCTTTGTTAGGTAAAATACAAAGAAGTAGGACCTTCCTATTAAAAAACAAATAGCTAATTGATTGTGACATAATTTTGCAAGTAGGAAGGTGATGGATCTCATTTTTGCGATTCGATTATATTATCTTCAATGTCATTTGTAAATTCTTTTAGTTTTGTTTACAGGCTTTTAGTTATGTTTCTTTTATTTCTAGAATTTTGATTTAGATTCCTCTTCAAGCCAAAGTTTTATTAGTCAAACTTTAACTACTGATTATGAATTGGTAGGATTTCTTACTTAAATTATCATCTAATGGTACATAAAAAAAACCTTTATCAAGGGTAACCCTGCTCCAGTTTTACTAGAAGACTTGGAAATTTAGTGGGACACTGATGAATTGACAAAAACCACTCAATTAGGAATACTATAATATATAAACAATGAGAAACCGAGAACACTCGATCACTGCCCGAGTGTATTATACAGGAATTATTTTGGAAACAAACTTTTAATGGTAAAAATGGAATAAAATGGTTTAGGGAAAAATATATGTAATCAAATGTAGTCATTGGATTTTGACTGGGTATAGATAACATATTTTGGCAATGGAGTGTCTAATGGCAATAAGCAGTATCAGATGAGATGAGCTATGTTGGGGTGTCAAGGATAAAACTTTGGGATTTTGTTTTGTGTCTTGTTTTGGTGGTTCTTTGATCTATTTTCCATTATTATGACTAAATCACAAACTATAAGATTGGAAGGCACATCTTAAGCTCTTGGGATAAATGGGCTGGGTGGTTAGGTTGAACAAACCATTTGCCATTATTAGTAGATAAATCATTTTGACCAGGTCACATATGATGACGACAAGGAAGACTCTCAGTTGCTTCTAATTGACAGTACTATGCTTGAAGACCATGCTTAGCGTATTTAGTGAAAGCTTGTCAAAGATGGTGCACGTTATAACCTGCATATAGCCTAACAATTGTTACCTTTTGGTGATGATGGTCCATTAAGTACCAAAAACAGCCCGTTTTGCAAATGAACTGAAATGTACTCCAAGAATTCCCCAAGTTCTTACAAGGGTTGAAGCAATACGCATATGTTCTCCTTGCTGTTGTTTTTTCGATTTTGTAGGCTGTTAGACAATTATTTCCTAAAAAGTGTAAGCCCCTGATGAATATACTCAATAATGTACATCAAGCTCTCATATCTTTGTAATGCACTACCTTCTCTTGTACATTGAAAAAGCAGACATACAAAATGCAGCACAACCAGATTGACAGAATGAGAGCAAAAAAATGCAAATGAAGAGACTTGAATCCAATACCTGGTATTAAAACTCTAATACCATGTTAAAAACCCGTTTCCTTAAAACCTTAAACAATGAGCTTAACAATGAATATTAAGCTCTCGCATGGACATCAGTGAATTTCTCAGCGGGAATGCAAAAAGAATAAACAAATAAATGATTACATAAATATAAAAAATTTCATCTTAGAATGTTTGGAGCCATATCAGATTGAAATTTTCTTAGAGAATATGAAGTAGTGTTTATGGTGTTTTTAGGAATTCAGCATTGGAAAAGCAATCTGGCTGTTCAGAGTCAGGCTGTTCAGAGTTCAGTGTTTGTTTAGTAATGTAGTATAGGCTGCTCAAGAGAGTTTACTATGGGTATCATGAACTAATGATATGGTTATTGTAGGAATTTACATTGAAGAAGAAATCAAGCTATTCATAATACAACATTGGGCTTCATAGGTGGCTGTGGGGAGAGTCTTGTAATTCCAATGGTATGTAATACGATTAGTTGAGATTTCAATTTTAGATTTTTTCTTGTTCACCACTTTGCTTCTACTCAAAATTGGGTAGTTGGTAGAGGATTAAAGATGCTTACCCTCCTAATTTTACTTTTATAACTTCCACATAAACCTTATTCTTACAGAGATGCAACGTGATGTATATATATATAATAGATACACAATTTGATATACATGGTGATTGAAACTTTAATTGCCAACAAATATACTAGATTAAGATGAAATCTAAAAAAGGGACTGCAACTTTCTAAATAGTTAATTACCTTATATTTTAATATGAGTTCCATTATATTTGACACATAAATAACCACATAGACTCAGTGAAGTAGTAAATTTTTATTTATCGGGCTAAATAGATGACTCGTATTTAAAACCTATTAAAATTCATCACTTGGAACAGTAAGGCCTCATTCTTATGTTATATACCTTGAAGACAATAGGTAATTAAGATTCTCTTTCGTGGGATGAGTGAAAAAAAAAAGAAAAAGACACATAACAAAATTTCATGAAAACGTTGTCATTGTATAAATTTGCCCAAATTTAAATTGATGTGAAATTCTAAATTTGCCCAAGAAGAGGAAAAAGAAAATAATAATACCTATATATACTTCATTGAAATTGAGTGGATAGGAATTTTTCCTTGTCTATTTAGTCAAATATGGGAATTTTTGACAAAGTACAAGGAAAATAGACAGTCTAGCTACCCATGTGAGCAACAAATTTTTATTAAGAATTTTGGTGCATCCAACAAAATCATTCCTCAAACAAACTTTTCAATTAAGCAATCATTTATTACAGATAACTACATCCTAGAGTACAAGAACAGAAAACCACACAATATTTGAACTGAATAAAATATAAATATTCTATACTAGGAACATTATACACACATAAGTATGTAATTTTTTTAGTTTGTGTGTGTTTATCATTGGCTATAGACTTCCATCGATCACTACTATAGTCGACTCCTGCATGTGAGAAACTAATTGGACTTCAAGTTGAGGAGGTTGGTGTTGATGTTGGTGTGTGAAGAAGATAGCGTAGAGAGTAGGAATGGATTGTAAAATTTGATAAAACCAGCAGAGGAAGCGGTTAAGCAGATTGAAAAGCGAAGCAAACCAAGGAGAGATGAGTATGATGATAGGATAAGAAATCCAAAATGTGGCGGTGACAAAAAGATTGAGCACCACAACCCAATTGCTACAGCTAAGTGTTTGGTGTACGTCCTAGTGGCTATTGTGTTGCAGAGCATAGCACTATTGGTTTTCGGATTAGCCGTATTGCGAATCAATTCCCCAAAAGCTAGCTTGAGCTCTGTTTCAATCAAAACCCTCACGTGTCACCGGACAATCACCTTCTTTCAACGGCACAATGACCGGTGTGATGAGAGTGAAGAATGAAAACTTTGGTAGCTTCAAATTCGAGAACAGCTTTAAGGTCATTGTTTTGTACGGAAATGTGACCGTTGGTGACATGAAAATCGATAGGAGGAGTGTTGGGGGTAGAAATACAGAGCATGTGAATGTTAGTGTAGATGTGAGGTCTAGTGGGGAATTATTGGGTGATGAGAGTTTTAGGAGTGATATGAATTCTGGGTTGTTGAACCTGATCAGCTATGCCAAGTTGAGAGGTGAAGTGCGTGTGATGAATTTGATCAAGAGCCGTAGAACTGTGGCAATGAATTGCAGTATGAGTCTTGATTTCACGAACAGAGCAGTTCAGGATTTGCTATGCATGTGATTCTTTTTTCTTTTTTTTTTTCATTTGGAAATTCATTTATTGAGTTGTTTGTAATATTGATTTGCTCTGATGATAGGATAAGTTATCTCTATTCGTATGATTGGGGGATTAACATTAGCCGAGAACTAGGAATTGGTAATTCAATAGTAGCCGATGGCAGCCTACTATTGTCAAGACATAACCATTTGAAGGCAGTTATGGGAACTTCAACTGGGAATGTAAGTGATGTGTGTACTCTGAGAAATATTTGAAGCACAACTTTGTATAATTTTTTATATCGTTATATTGTTACTGTATTCAGAACGGGAACACCGGACACTTGACAGAAACAACTAGTGTTCAAACATCAAATGCGTGTTCTATCTTGACCGCCGTTCTTCCTCTTCAGCTCCTTTTTCTCTCGATTACCAAAATGGCATGATTTCTAACTTGTATATAGCAAGGCGTTTCTTGCTCTGCTCAAGATTCACCTTGCAAACTCACAACAAAGCAAGATGATGCAAGTGTTTACTTCAGATAGTTTCAGGTAGAAAACGCTGCACGCCGGGAGGACATGATCAACTCGAGCCCCACCAACGAATTGGGTTGGCTTCAGATTGACATTTCAACCTGTGCCTATTTTTAGGTTGGTCTCGTGTTAGAACATGATCAACTCGAGCCCCACCCGAATTCTTGTGAGAGAACAACCCGAATAGTTAATTACCTTATATTTTAATATTAGTTTCATTATATTTGACACATAAATAACCACGTAAAGT